GCTTATGATTTCATGACATGTGACCACATTACGTATTAAATTCTCTATTACTAGTAGCGAAGTTTGTCCAATCAAATTTATTCTGTGAAAATATGAAAATGTTAAAAAATCATTAGCAAATGTAATACTTTATCAGTTATAGCGAATTACGTCGCGTAACAGTTTGACAAAAATATTATTTTCGTGATATTTGGATACATTTTTTGCCAAACCATGGATTTTGGTCGATGTTCTCGGACAAAGATACCAAAGTACCAAACACTCGTATTTTTTATTAAATATAAAAATAATATATTTATATAATTTTTATTTGTATAATTATTTTTTTTGTATTTTTCTCTTTTTAAGAAAGATAATATCTATATTGCATTGACACCGATACGATATACGATACAATACTTCGACATGTTAATTCTAAAAAATATTAGATTTTGACATGTTATGACATATTTTGATATTAAATAATATTTTTAATTTACGTAGTGTATATTATATTCAATATTCAATAATTTAATAAAAAAACTAAACTAAACTTATAATATTTATCAATTTTACAAAGAAACATAAGATATTACAAATATTTATATTAAACTCAATAAAATGGTAACCGTAATTCAATGAATTTAATAGTTAGAACTAAAAACGTAACTTAACACAAATTTTGAATCTTTTTTGAATTTCTTCAATGCGTGTTAAAGTGTCGGAGAATATTGCTGAGTATCAAAAAATGTCGGACATGACATGTCAATTTTTTAAAGTGTTCTGTGCATTCGTAGGTAGGGTTTTCGCTCTTTGTATTAGATTAGTTTTGAAGCAAAAATCATTTCATCAAAGCCTTTTTTTTATCATTTCATCATCATACGATTTGGATTTTCTAAAATTCCAATTCAATCAAATCCGAAATTATTCTATTTGGATTGCATTGATTTTCAGTTTTTCGAAAAGTCTAAAATTTCAGCCATATAAATTATTAGCTATACCAAAATAAAGCCATACAAAATCATAAATCATTTAAAAATTCAAGTATTCAAATTAAAACAAGTCTTTAAACTAATGAAAAATTAAAATAGATTAATAGATAATAAAAAAATAAAATAATATAATTTACTATCAATAATATTCAAGATTAAAAGTCAACAAAATAATAAGATTATAAGTCACAATCTATCAAAAATAACAAATACACAATACTTTGGATCAGTTTTCATCCCAAACCAAAAATTGATCAAATTCAATTAAAATATTCATTTTTTTAATTTTTTGATTATCAATTTTTTGATTCGATCACCGCAGTTTTATTTTCTTTTTGATCGGTTGATGAATTTTCAATGTAATTTTTTTTGCCCCGGGTCGGATCTTTTTATTTTCTCTGCTGCTCTATCAGCTTTTTTTTCTTTTCTGATTAGTGCAAAATCTAATTGCTCCACATATGTTTTTGTATTTGTATGTATCTCTTTATTTATATACAACGAAAATTTTGCACGTATCTCTATATTTAAAATATAAAATAATATCGTCTATCAAAAAAAATAAATATAAAATAATATCAAATTTATAAAACAAAAGTTTTTATATAATTAAAGTTCCTCGTGAGCAGCGATTTGTATTGTAGCGCTAAACAATTTTTGTTTGTTTGTAATTTATTTATTTTTAAATCACGAAGTCGCGTGATGGAATTTAAAAAAATAATTTTTTATGAAAAAAATACAAGGCAAATATTTGTATGATCAATTCTCGCTTTAATTTTCATTAGTTGGGAGCCTCATGAGTCTTGCCCAATAATTTGCCCTATTTTAAATCATCTAAAAATTTCACACGAGATAATATATAATTTGAAATTTTTTTATTAAACATTTCATCTCAATCTATAATTGAAAATAGAAAAAATGAACAAATAAAAATTACTAAATAATTTTATTTTCTAAATTTAATTTTATTTTTTTCTTAAACGACAAACCATTCAAGCAAATTGATTCATCATTCAATATGAAGACATAACTATTTTTTTTGAATAATGTTTAGTCATAATTATACTCTTCATAAATTATAAAGATAAATTTGTATATATTTAACCCTCACTCCTGTTTTTCAGATTTTTAATAAAGGAGAAATTATTTTTTTATCCAAAAATCATAATTTTTGATAATATAATGAAAAAATGAATTTTTCAAAAATATTATTAAAAAATTGTTTGGTAGGATAAATATTACTAGAATTTTTGTCAGAGTTTTGAGATATAAATTTTCATTTTCTCGGAATTGGATGGTATTTTGGTTTACTCCTTATACACAAAACAAAATTACGAAAAAAATTATATTCCTGAATTTTTTTTTAGAAATCTTCTATCAAATATGAATATATTGAATTACCATCTTCACTTTCTAGAAAATATGAAAAGAATAAGTCTTGTGTGCTGAAATTTACCTGACAAATTTATCATAAAATATTACTGATAGATTGAAAGTTTGTATTATACAAATAGTCTCAAGAAATTTTACCACATCCCATATGGACATTATTGTATACTCTATTTAAGTTTCTTACAGTTATAGAATTTATTTTGAAAAGAAATTAAATTATTGAACAGTTGACTATATAGATATTCTTATTTAAGTTATATATGTGTATAATTTGGCATGTACTTAATATTTATATGATCTATTCAGCTTGAACATGCTATGTTGCATGATAAAATTAAAATTAAAAAGTGAAAAAAGTATGATAATGATAAAAATAAATTGATCTTATTTCAATTGTTTTATGATCCATAAGATATAAATTTATATATTTATTGTTATAAGACAATATAATTTCGTAAATCATAAGTCGTTAATATTTGTTTAACTCTGAATATGTCTTTTAATTTATATGAAATGTTAAATTCATTTTATTTTTTTTAATTAATCATTGTATAAGTTTTTTTTATAATAATCATAAGTGCAATGAGAAACCGGTGCATTGCAAATTTAAATATATTTCTTATAGAATGAGTTAAGATTTTGATCCTAGCTTAGTATTAAATTGAGCGAAAATCCGTCTTTTAACTGTCCTATTCATTAGTTATATTTATCATTAGATAACTTTAACGTAAATTAATATTCAATGTAATATAAAAAGAGATTTGAAAGTAAGAGTGACTGTATTACCAAAAAAGAGAGAGTAAGAGTGACTGTTAGTTGTGTGTAATCTGTATTTAATTTATTTTGACAATTTTTTTTCTTAATTTGTATTAATAACAATAAAATATCACATATTTGGGAAAAAATAAAAATATATTGAATAAGGAAGCAATATTCTCTTAAAAAAGTGTAGATATGAAACAATTCGATTTTTTTTCATTAAAATAATAAACTAAATAAAAACGAACAAATTTCCAAGTTCAAATCAAGACAAATTTTGTAACGGCAGAGAATAAATCACGAAAATGGCTAAACTTAAAATATTAAAAGAATATTAAAAAAATAATATTAAAAGAAAGCCAACAAAGAATAAGGAATAAGAAAAGATAAAGTGATATATAGTTATACAGTAACCATAAAAAAAAAAAGCTTAAAATATGCTGTTAGCCATCGCATAAAGGAAATTATGCTAAAATCGCAGTAGCAAAGAAAGATTGTGATACTATTTTTTTAATCATATCAATTATATATCTTTTTTAAAAGAAATACAATGGATGCACACCTTTATTATTTATTGATTTTTTTTTCATCATGAATCATGAATACAAATTCCATTTCCATTGTTATTGCGTGCTGCATGTCCTTTTTCTTTCTTTTCTTTTTTTTCATGATTTGACTCTCTCCATTAACTAGAATTGACTAGTGCCTCAAATCCGCACAAGTACACTCGGATTCCAACACCACATTTCAATCCACTTTAATTCAACCGGTTTATCCGGTCACCACACTCTGTTTACTTACCTAACCGGTAATATCACCCTGCTTTTCACCTTCCCAACCGGTTTCCCTCTAACCACTGTAATTTCTATACCCTTCGGATAAAAAGAGCAGCTACTTGTCATCTTCTGATTGGTTAACTCGACGACAATGTTAAACTAATATCAGCAAAAGTCAATTTTTTTTCCAAAATCCAAAACTTACTGCCACGTGTATGATTAAAGAGAAATCAGTGGCACTGGATCCATGCTTTTATCCGAAATTAAACTTGCATGTGAAGTGAATTTGGGTTGAATTCCCAGAAAATTTCAGCCAAACGAGTGGAAAGGCGTTAAATTATTACACGGAGCGTTTTTGTCGTAACTCGTGTCAAGAATAACCTCGTCATGAATGAAAGTACGTTTCTACCCCTTATCTTTTCAAAGAACGACGATCTAGTCCTGCGGGAGATGACGAGGTGTGATATGATTGGATAATAAAAAAGGCACAGGGTACTGCAGACGAATAATCAAACCGTAGCTCTCAGTGCGCTTCATCTTTTCACCTTTTTTTTTATTATATATTATTTTTTATTAATATTTTAGATAAAATTATCTTCAATACACGTATACAAATATTTGGACCCAATCAAATGGTGGTAGCGTTGGTGCATGGGAGCTAAGCAGGTGGAGGTGAGAGTACGTGTTCGAATCTATCCAATACTATCTTTGGGAGGGGATTAAAGCCTTAATCTTGGACTCGCCCCGAATCGAATTAGTTGCGAAACAATAAGCCGATTGAAATATTTTAAAAAAAATATAAAAATATTTGGACTCATAATTTTCTTATTTTTTATCTTTATTTTCTTTACATGACATTACACGAGTCTTACACATTTTTACGTGAGAGATTTTATCTCTTGTAATATGAGAAATATTAATCTAATTTTTTTTTAATTTTAATTGTGCACAATTTTTTTGTTTTTGAAGTCGTATTGGTCCGGCGATTTTATCAAACTGAATATAATAATTAAAAAAAAACTTTTAATTTTTAATTTATTAAAACATGAAGTGCTCTTTTGTGTGTTACTCCAATTTTTTATTTTATTATTTAATTTTTTTGGAGAAGGAGAAAAAAGAGCACATAGGTAATGGAGAAAGAAGAAGAAGGTCTCTTGTTAGCTCCTCTTTTCTCACGAATATATCTGTTTTTTCTCGCCAGATTTTCTGGGAATCCAAACACACTGTGCTTCCTTTCATTCACCCTTTGAGATCTGAGGGTCTGTCTGTCTGTCACTCTTGCTTTGCTTTGCTTTGCTTTGCTTTGTCGTCTTCTTTGCTTACTTTGGCAGTGAGCATAGAGTGGTAAGATTAGATTCACTTCGCAGTTCGTTATATCAGTTTAGATCACTTTCGAGTTTAGGTTTCGAATCCCTCTTTTTGCGGAGTTAGTGTCTGTCTGTTTGCTCCTTGCTTGTTGTCGTGGTGGTCGTCGTCGTCGTTGTTGTTGATGATGTTGTTGTTGTTGTGTTTTGATGTGGAAAATGAGTGCGAGAAGCATGGTACAAAGTTGGTCATTAGCCTGATCCTAAAATGATCTTTGTTTTGTCGAGAACTAGTAATCGGGGAACAGAAATAAATTAGTTTTGTTTGGAATGGTGTTCTCCCAGTTGTTTGGTTTCTGTGAATCTAGGTTTTTGTTTGTCAACTTTTAAGGTTTAAGTTCACTTGTTGGATTTGCTGTTTGATTTCATGAACTGTTTGTTTTGTTTCTAATTTCCTTTACATCTATTTTTCCTTTATTGTTTTAAATAAGAAATTACACTTTGCTGTTTGTGTCCTGGTTATTTGATGAAAAATAGAGGAACTTGTTTGTTTTTTTATTTTGTATTTGTTTGCTTGTTTATTCTCTTTTCCTGTAAAGCAGCCATTTTTTCATAGATGAATTGAGATAATTATGAAAAAAAATTATTTTGTAAAGCCTTTCTCGTTTCTACTTTAGATGTTCAATTTGATGCCTAGTCACATACTTTATCTTGTATAAACTTCATGTGTTATATACTTTATCTTGTATAAACTTCATGTGTTGTTTTTGGACGTTCAACAAGTGTTTATGGATGGTTTTTTAATGCATTTGGATGCTTCATTGTTGTGCTGCTTGTTTAATATAATTTTACTTCTTTGTCTTTGAAGGCCTAGCTATAATGGGTTTGTGGTTTTTTCCTCAGCTGAATCTCCTGCAAATGAAAGTATGTGCTGTGAGTTGGAGCGGTTAAAGCCTGCACCGTCTCCATCGCTATCTCCTGTTTTGATACCAACATCTGAACCCAGAAACCACAAGATGAATCACTTTATTGTTGACACTGAAGATTCTTTTGCAAGCTTGCTTGAGCTTGCGGCCAATAATGATGTTGAAGGTTTCAAACGATTGATTGAGTGTGATCCTTCCTCTGTTGATGAGGTTGGGCTATGGTATGGTCGTAGGAAGGGATCAAAGCAGATGGTCAATGAGCAAAGAACGCCTTTGATGGTTGCTGCTACTTATGGTAGCATTGATATTATGAAACTTATTCTTTCTCTATCTGATGCTGACATCAACCAGCCATGTGGCCTTGACAGGAGCACTGCCCTTCATTGTGCGGCATCAGGTGGGGCTGAGAATGCTGTTGATGCCGTGAAACTGCTTCTAGCAGCTGGGGCTGATCCGAATTCTGTGGATTCCAATGGCCATCGTCCTGTAGATGTTATTGTTTTTCCTCCTAAGCTTGAATATGTCAAAAACAGTCTTGAAGAGCTTCTTCAAACTGATGATTCTATTGCTGGGTGTAATCTTAGGGTGATAACACCCTCATTCAATGCATATTCTCCACCATCATCAACTTCACCAGATAACGGATCTCCTTCTGCACGAGATTTCCAGTTGAAGTTAAAGTCAAATGATGTCCCTATTTCTTCTGCATCTGAGAAGAAAGAATATCCTGTTGATCCATCCCTTCCGGACATCAAGAACAGCATATATTCAACTGATGAATTTCGAATGTACTCTTTCAAGGTTCGACCTTGTTCCCGTGCTTATTCACATGATTGGACTGAATGCCCTTTTGTCCATCCGGGGGAGAATGCTCGGAGAAGGGATCCCAGAAAGTACCATTACAGCTGTGTCCCTTGTCCTGAGTTCCGGAAGGGTGCTTGCCGGCGAGGAGATATGTGTGAATATGCTCATGGGGTTTTTGAGTGTTGGCTGCATCCAGCACAATATCGAACCCGTCTTTGCAAGGATGGGACAAGTTGCTCCAGAAGAGTTTGCTTCTTTGCCCACACTGCTGAAGAGCTTCGACCATTATATGTTTCAACTGGTTCTGCTGTTCCCTCTCCTCGATCAAGCACATCTTCTGCCATGGATTTTGCTGCAGCCATGAGCATGTTGCCTGGCTCCCCTTCCTCAATGTCTGTTATGTCTCCTTCACCATTCACTCCACCCATGTCACCCTCTGGCAATGGCATTTCACACTCTTCTGTTGCTTGGTCCCAGCCTAACATCCCAGCCTTGCATCTTCCAGGAAGTAATCTTCAGTCCAGTCGTTTGAGATCATCACTCCATGCTAGAGATATTCCCATGGATGATTTTGACTCGTTACCTGATTATGATCTGCAGCTACAGCTCCTTAACGAGTTATCATGCCTTTCTCCACAGCCTATGAATTCTAATGCTATAAACCGCTCTGGTCGCATGAAACCCTTGACTCCTTCAAATCTTGATGATCTCTTTTCTGCTGAGAATTCTTCCCCTCGATATGCTGATCCAACACTGACTTCAACTGTTTTTTCTCCTACTCACAAATCAGCTGTCTTCAATCAGTTTCAGCAGCAGCAAAGCTTGTTGTCACCAGTGAATACAAATTTTTCTTCTAAAAATGTTGAACATCCTTTAATGCAGGCCTCAGGAAGAATGTCACCACGAAATGTGGAACCTATTTCTCCAATGAGCTCTAGGATTTCTATGCTAGCTCAACGTGAGAAGCAGCAACAATTTCGAAGCCTGAGCTCCCGGGAACTTGGCTCCAACTCTGCTGCTGCAGCTGCTGCCTCAGTCAATTCTTGGTCAAAATGGGGATCCCCCAATGGTAAGTTGGATTGGGCAGTTGGTACAGATGATCTAGGTAAGCTACGTAGATCATCTTCATTTGAGCTTGGGAACAATGGTGAGGAGCCTGATTTATCATGGGTGCAGTCACTTGTTAAAGAATCTCCAACTGAGATGAAAGAGAAATTGGCAACTACTGTCTCAAGTGTTGCAGCAGCAGCAGCTGGATCCTCCAGTGAGGTATCAAATATGAGCACACAAATGGAGTCTGTTGATCATGCTGTATTGGGAGCATGGCTTGAACAGATGCAGCTTGATCATCTTGTGGCTCAGCAAAACTGAAATGAGTTTTGCTGGCCCTGAGGTAGTTAACAACAGAAAGGTTTCAGTAAATAATATATATGCTTTTTTGAAGTTTTGTTGTTGATGGAAGAAGGTTACAGTAACTAAGAAAGGAAGCAGCAAGAAAAAAAAAAATCACTTGAGGGAAATTCATTTTGAAGTTTAGTGTTACAAAAGTAACTTAGAAGGGTCAAAAAACCACTTGGTGGCATTAAGAAAAATAATGCCAGTGTAGGGTTTTTTGGCTGCCAATCTTTTCAAAATTTTAGGTTTACATTTCTGTCATTTTTTCCTTCGTTGAGGAGCAAATGTTCTATCAAAATGATGAAGTCCTGTTCCTAAGTTTGATCTATCTTTTTCTTTTATTCCTTTTTTATTTTGGGGTAGAAAATGAAATTACGGAAGGGTCATTGAAGTTAATTTCCTTGAGTCTCTCCATTTTGGTCTGTTTTGGGGATATGAATATACAGGATGTTGGATATGATATTTCTCATGTAATTTGGAATCAATAATTGTGGATGCCAGGGAGTGGGTAAGTTAGGTACATTTGAAGAATGATCCTTTGGGCATGTAACATTCAATTAAAGCTTATTTCTATATTATTCTATTACCTTTGTTTCTATTTTCAATTAGATCCCACTATCACACTGTTAATAGTCTTTGATTTGCGTGGTATAAATACCTGAGCTGTTAAATACCATTTGTGGATTAGGTACTGTTGTTTGTGCATTGATTGAAACGCCATTTATATGGATTCTTATCTTTACACGATAGATGTGACACCACATTACGTATTTTGATGATGATGATTACACTTATAATTCTCGACTTTGTATCATCCTACTCAGTTAGTTAGAGTCATCGAAGTGAAACTGATTTATGAATTTATATATATTAATAGAACGTCCATTTCTATGGTAGGGAAGTATTATAGATATTCCAATGAATACAATATATATCTCCATTTCTGTTCGATGTCTCATTTTTAGGAGTTGGTCAATAGTTAAAGAAAGGGAAGAATAATACTAACGAGTTGTGACCTTTTTAAATACCTTTATTATTGATTTAAATTTCATGTCGGTTTTACTAAATAATTTGGATTTGTTTTTTATTAGTATGGCTATGATGAAATTATAGCTAATAATAACGGCTGTGCGTTAAAAATAAGAGTCGAAAGAGTCTATTGCAAAAAAAGTTTTTTATTAGTGTCGCAAATTTCGTCACTACATATGAAATTTTGTCACAAATTCCTGAGTCGTAAATTTATTTGTGACGAAATTTGATTATTTGTGTCGAAAATTGTCATTTGTGACAAAATTTGTGATAAAATTTTTGTCACAAATAAACTTTTTTCTTGTAGTGAATGTTGTCTCCTGAGACATTAAAAATTGTGCTAACTCTTTTTTTGTTAAAAAATAAATAAATTGGTGGCCTTACTTTTTTTTGTCTCAGCATCAGACAATATTTTTATCCGCTAGAGAAAAATATTGCCCTCATTTTAAAGTAAAAAGTAAATTTATAGATTTTTTTTCGATTTTTTTTTTCAGACGCGCGCTTATTTTCTTTGTAAGCTTATAACAATCTTTATAGCAAAATCTGGGGATACAAAAACAAGATTCTCTGTATTTCTTTAAAATCTTGTCATTTTATTTCACTAGTACGATTAAGGTTAAATGATTAAATCTATAGAGCTAAACAAACGAATGTGTTAAAAATTCGGTTTTTAATTTTTTATATTATTGAAAAAAGTTAGAAAGGTGATAGAAAGAGATCATTAAGGTATAAAGTTATTATATTATGTTTAATTGAATATTTGGATTTTTAATATTGAAAAAAGTTAGAAAGAAATGATTAATGCATAAAATTTTGAATGAGATTAAAAATAAATTTAATAGTATAAAAAAGAAAAAAATTGTAAACATAAAATATTTTTGGGAAATTATATTCTCATATTATATATTATATGGGATTGTTTTCTCAAATTATACTCGTGCCGAATAATATGTCATTTTTTTAAAAATCGGTGCACTTCATTTATGTGAATAGAAGATAAAACTTCTGTGGTGAGAAAAGTAAACCACACTATTTTTATGGCATCCCCTGATGTCTTTATTCTTTCACTATACGTATCTAGTGCTTTTGACAGCTAGTGTGTGTCATTATATGCTTTTTAAGTTGGAACTGAGTTGAACCCCATAACCAAATAGATATCCATATATATATATATATATCATTAAAGTTAGGTAAAATTCTCTTGGAAAAAGAAAAAAATCTATAATCACAAAAGAGTTAACCTAAATAGTTTTACAACCATATATATCACCCTCCTTTTAGACAAATTTTGAACATTGATCCTCTTGATTTGTTCTGCCTTTTCTTCCCACTTTTGCAGAAGGAATAACAATGCTTCACCATGCATTCTATAAACATTTATGGTATAACTTGGCCTTCCCTTTCAAGAATATTTTTATTCTTATCTGATCCTAAGGGTAGTGGGTAGCTGTAACATAGTCACAAACGAAAATTCTTTTTGTTGATATTTTGCTTTTGCACCTGTCTTTTTCTAAGCATTATCAAATGTATATATGGCTTTTGCCTTTAGTGCTTTGTCCAATAAGCCAATTGACAAATCGTTTTACTACAATAATATCTAACATCCAATGTCTTCTTCATACCTTGTAAGAGAAGTAATAAAAAGAAAAAGGAATCATATCCTCCATAGAAAATACATTAAACTAAGATTGATTTGTGCTTTGATATGGCTACTTAATTGTTGAACTGTTTTTCTTAATCTGGTTGATTAGTTGAACTGTTCTTTTTTGATTTTGGAGTTGGTTCTCCAAATGTTGGAAGTCCACACACGTGGTGGTAGAGGGAAACACAGAGAACACCCTTACATATATACCCTATAGAATCCAATAATTCAATATGGTAATTTTGGCTTTTCTTTTTCTCAAGAAGAAAAAGGAAGTGACTTATGAGCTTTGATTATTGTACAAAAAACATTTGAGTTTTTGTAGTTTTTTTAAAGATGTAATTATGAATTGATTATAGAAAAAAAAGGATAAATAATGTTATTATTCAATTGTATAACTGTTAAAGCTAATAAGGAAAAATGTTTCTGCAGTTAATGCAGATAAGTTATCTGCATTTATTTCCAAAACGACGTTGTTTTGCTATTGAAATCTTAAAAAATTATAAATATAAAGACTATTATAATCCTAAAATAAATTAAAATTACAAAAACACCATAATTTTCGCCCCAAAACGACGTCGTATTGACTTACTGCAAATAAGTTATCTGCCGTAACCGCAGAAAAATGATCCCCATTACTTATTGCAAACAAATACATTATGTGGCCATGTTTGAACTTTAATGTTGTTCATTTTTAATTAACTCATCTAAATAATTAAAAAAATTATATATAAATGAAGCCTGAAAATAGGCCAGCTAATATAGGAACATTTATTTTATTCTTTTGGACAACGATTTTTCTTTTCTTATGCGAAGGATTCTAATCATTAAATTTTTAACAAGACTCACATAAATATAAAAGTTGTGATATTTTATGGAAAAGGATGGAGAAAGAAAGAATTTCTCTAGAAGAAAACGGTATTAAGAAAATGAAAAGGAATATAAAAAGAAAAGAAACTACACAAGTTTAAAGCATACTAGCTGGTAGAGAGAAAAAAATAATAATCAAGAAGTGTATGACAACAAAGAAGGAATAAAAGTGGAAAAAATAAATAGAGTAGTTGTGAAAAATATAAGCAATTGCATAGTTTTAGTATATAGTTTGGAGTACAACGTAATATATATGGGGAAGAGATTTTAAATGGAATGAAAGTATCAAAGCTGGGACCAAGTGCAACCATCACAATATAATGATAGGTCCTTTGAAGGCAATTTTAGGTTTGGGTAGGCTACAATATCCACCAATAATGACACCTGCTTCTACAGATTTGCACCCCTAAGAGAGGACACTGCCCCATTTTAAGTAAAGAACATTGCATTATTGACAATGCCATCTTCTATCATCAGCATTGATTAGATCTACTTGATTGAGCCAAAGGGGGTTGGTACAAATAGTTAAAGACCTACTTGATTGATTATGGCACATAGGGCATCTTAGCTAGGGCTATTAACGAGTCGTGGTCTTAAAAGGTTAAATCTGTATTTAAATGTGTCAGCCTGATCAAGTCTGTTACCTATTATAAATATAACTATCAGCCTGTGGCCTAACTTATTTACAAAAAATAAAAACCTTGTTTAGCCTGTTTAAAAAAAATACGACAACATAAATTTATCCAAACAGAATATACAATCAACAACACTAATAATTCCATAAATATTCATAAATTCAATTTATATTCAAACAACATAATATAAAACAAAATCATTCAAAAAGTCTGTTTAACCAATAAAATGGGGTGGAATGGATTGAGGAGAAAGAGAGAGCTATTACAAGTAGTAAAAAAAATATAAAATAAAAATAAAAATAATATGCTCGGCCAGCCTGAGAGGCTTTAGGGCCGAGCTTTTGAGTTGGAGCCGGAGGCTTTTTTATTAAACGAACTTTTATACAAGTCCAAGCTTGGTGCCAACAATCAATTTTAAACATGTAAACTTAGGTCTTCACGAGCCGAGCCAAAAGCGCCTGAAATGTCCTAATTTGTTTAGGACCCTGATCTTAGCTATGTATGTGGACTATAGGTGCATGCTTGTAACACCTTTTGACTCGTTTGTATAAGAAAGTTTCCTAGGAAGTAAATAACGTTTGCTGACGGTAACTTCAGCTGAAGAGGAAGTGATGACAACAATGTGACGTTAATTGTTACTTATAGAACGGGTCTTTCTTAGATTAATTGAAACAAATGATGATATGGTTATATAGGTAATTTTGGTATGTAAGAATTTAGATTCGCTACGGTGTTGAGCAATTATCTTTATTTGTGTGTGTATATTCTGAGGTATTACCCTTTAAAGAAAAAAACGTCTTACACTCTTACTAACGATTGTTATCCAAAATTATATTTGTAGAATTTCTTTATGAATTTATTGTCCCTATTTTATCTCATACATATTGCCTATCTTTTTTTTTCTCTCTTTTCACTTTGTATGAGTCTCACATACTTTTATGTATGTGTAGAAGATAAAATTATCTCATACAACATCAAAAACATCAAACTCATTATTTACACACCACTTCTTTGGAAAAAGAATAGTTTAGTTTTTAAAGAATATAACTTTGTGTCATTTTAGATCCTGATCGTTGATTTTCATTAATCAACGGTTATAATTTATTGTGTCGAATTTATTAATTAATTATTAATTATCAATAAATTATAATTATTGATTGATGAAAATAAACAGTTAGGATCTAAAATGACACAAAGTTATATCCTTTAAAAAAATAAGTATTTTTCCCTATAACTAAGTAGTACGGACAAATATTTGGAAAGTTTTACTGAAATTTTTTATGATGGAAGAAATCAGTTTTTGTATTAATAATAAATTTTTGTAACACTGATAATATTTTATTGAACTTTGCTAGTGAATGACAAAAAGAATTTTAATTTGAAAAGGGTTAGTCCATGAGAGTCACTAACTACTTTTATAATACCTGCTTCACGCACTTTGGTACTTTTGCTTAAACTAAATTTTAATTCTGTGCTAATAAATTTTTTATTTGAATATTTATTTTTTTAGTTAATTATTAAATTCAATTCTTTCATAGCGAAAAAACAAAATTATATTAGATGTCAGAGATAATATCATTAAATTATGTGATGAAATAAATAATGCTTAAACATGGATGTAAGTTTTTTTTTTGTGTGCTTATCATCTATAATAAATTGTTTATATTCTGCTTCCCGCTATTTGCCTACGACTCTTATACTGTAATACAATGAACTTATTTTGTATACCTTGTATAATTGTAATAACACCTCTTATAATTGACAAACATCGTAACATCATATAATTAGGAAAATCTAAAGAAAATAGTACTTTTAAAAAAAGAAGTTAAAATAGTATTTTTTTTTTTTTAATGTCGTAAAGAGTGGCTGAAACCTAATTCAAGTTTGGGCCAGTCTGGAGGTCCAAAATCACTAAATTATATGTTCGCAAAATGAAGTGGATGAACAGTGAAATCAAGAGGGTTTCGAGAAGTCTCAAAGTTGATGAATTATAATTAATGATATTAACATTGGTTATATTTCTCTTAAGTTCTAAAAAGAAACAAATTTTTTATGGAAAAATATTTGTCCTTTTAAAAGATATAATTTGTGTCATTTTAGATCCTAACTGTTGATTTCCGTCAATCAACGGTAAAAATTTATTGAGTTTTATTGCGAATTACTAATTAATTAATAAGTTTGATCCAATAAATTCTAATCGTTGATTGACGAAAATCAACGGTTAAGATCTAAAATGACACAAAATTATATCCTTTAAAAGGACAAACGTTTTCCCCATTTTTTATATACACAAAAGAGGGGTGTATCTCACTTCTATTTTTTTTTTCTTGCCTCTTAGCTGTGGATCTTATTTGTAATTTTATTTCTATTACATGAGATAACTCTTTTACTACAACATAAGAAAATTATTTCTCATTAAAATAATATATAATCCCTTTGATTGTCATGCCAAAATAAAGGATCAACACTTTTTCTTTATTTTTGGTATCCAAGGATTGACACTTTTAACTTGGCTGGCAGCTCGCTGATGTTTCGACCTCAATCGTAAATTATTGATATATGATAACGGGTATAATGAGTAAAATGAATAATCAGAAGCCATCAGAACTATTAGTTCTTATATCTCTTATCTTCTCTATATTTATGTGTTAACATATTTGAATGTTGCCGTGTCCCTCAATTAACAACACAAATGAAAATTAGGGTGACTATTAACAGACTTGGTTTTATATATGAAATAATAGCTAGTCTTAGGAATGGTGTAATGCACTACTTGGGAACTTTGCTCTTGTAAAGATCGGCTTCTATCTGATCTGGTTTTCAACGCAACAGAAACAAAAGGATTCATGTGTAAGGCAAAAAAACAATAAATGTTAGAAGGGATTCAGTTGCTTTTGTAACTCTTCGTTGAGTACAGTGCTAAACGCTCAATTTTTTCTTCCGAACATTTAGCAGCAACAGCAAAAAATAAATGAATGGCAAAAAGTTTCAAAATTACCACGATTTTGTATGTGGTGAGATAATAAAAACAAGATGGCTCATGAATGAAGTAATAGTCATGAGCTGATGCTATTTTTTGTTCCAGTTCTGCTCCCATAAAAATTTGGTATCAGTGACTCTAATGTTACTCAGCACCTTAGGATCACCAATAATCTCCACAAGTGCATTTTCCATCCTCAAATCTGTGGAACCGGTTATTGTCCCTCACAATGATTACCCTTCCAGTACATTTGCTAATAAACTTGATCGCAGTGTGGCAATCACCACAAACACGCAAATTCTTCATTACTCTGATTGGTCGTTCCTGAGGGAAAGTAATAAGGCCAAATGCTATGGCTAACCTTTCACTATGATACCTAATAGTTTGACTCTTCTCATCGCCATCCACTTCTTTTAACACAAAAGACGTGTCTGCAACATAACCAGCTTTTGCCATTTCTTCTCCTAACTCCTCTAGCTTCTTATAAATTTCCACTGTTTTCCCATGTGACATATCCCCAGCAGCAAATGTGTGAACTCTATTTCCCTCCTCCACCCAACTCAAACCAGTTTCCTTCTTTATTCCTTGGTCCCTCAGCATCTTTCTTGCTTTTGCTGCTTCCTCCCATCTTCCAGCAGCAGCATAAGCATTAGACAGTAGGACATGAAGGCCAGAGCTTACAGGACCCAACTCAAAAACTCTATCAGCCACATAGGATGCCAATTCAGTATTCCCATGTATTCTACACCCTGTCAATAAAGCTCCCCAAACAGATTCCGTCGGTTCCACAGGCATTTCTCTAATCATCTTAACTGCATCCTGCAATTTTCCAGCACGACCAAGCAAATCCACCATGGTGGCATAATGTTGTGACCCTGGTTCAATACCATACTCTTTCATCAGCTCAAAGTAATGTTGTCCCCTCTCTACCAACCCTGCATGGCTGCAAGCATAAAGCACGCACAGAAAGGTGATGAAATTAGGCTTCATCCCAACACTTTGCATCTGCAAGAACAGCTCAAAGGTTTTACTCGTGTGCGCATGCTGAGCACATGCAATCATCATTGCATTCCACATGCCAAGGTTCCTAACCTTAATCTCCTCAAAAATCTCGTAAGCTCCTTCAACAACCCCGCACTTAGAATACAAGGAGATCAAAGAACTACCCACGAAGCACGATGCATCAAAGCTTGTCTTAAAGCACAATCCATGCACCTGCTTCCCCAACTCAAGCAGCGTGGAAGCGCTGCAAACCCTTAAAACACTAGACAAAGTAAAATCATTAACACCCACATCTTCAACCAGCGCCTGCTTAAACAGCCTTAGAGCCTCCTCATCCTCACCCATTTGAGCGTAACCATATATCATCCCACTCCAAGAAACCACATTCTTGTCAGGCATGTCATCAAACACTTTCCGAGCATACCCAATTTCTCCACATTTCGCATACATGTCAACAATGGAGCTCCCAACAAACACGTCGAAATCATACCGAGTTTTGAGCACGAAACAGTGCAGGGACTGGCCAACATCGACTATTGAGAGAATGGCGCAGGACTTGGTGGCACTGGGGAATGTATGGTCATCGGGGCGAACCCCATGACGGAGCATGCGGCGGAAGAAGTGGAGAGCTAGGAAAGGGAGGTCATTTTGGGCGAAAGAAGAGATTAGGGAGCTCCAACTAGTGGAAGACCTTTGAGGCAATTCGTCGAACACTTGGCGAGAGGAATAGGGAAGTTGAGTTTTAGAATACAAATTGATGAGGTGATGTGAGACCAGAGGAATGGCTTCAAGACCCGATTTGATGATGTGGGCATGCAGCTGAATCCCTTTGGGAAGTGACCGTGAGTGGGTTACACTGAGAAGGAGGTTGCAGATGTTTCGGTACTTTTCCGAGAATGGTTGTTGCAGCTGCAATATTCGAGTATCAACCTCAACCATTAGAGTATAACCACATCACAATCACAGTATGGGAAGAGTTTGAAAATGTTCGAACGACCCTTGTGTGAGTAAATTATTAAAATCCCGTAATGAAAATGTTATGTGACATGCTCACATGCATTTAACATCTAACAATACTATTACTAAGTAATAAATCATATTCAAATGGAAAATTAATAATTTTCTTACTTATTATGCTAATCCTCTACTTAAATTCATTTATTCTCTTAATTATAATAATATCAATATCAACAATACCTTTATCACAAACTAATCGAGGTTGATGTAAGATGAATCCAAATAAAAAATACGAAAAGATTGAAAAAGGATAGAAATGAAATTTAAGTATATATATATGAAGAGGTAAATAATTAAAAGGGAGGGATTTGAATCTCTTCTTTTCTCGGTTCTCATCAAACCAAAAGATATATATAAAGAGTGTAATGTTAAAAAAATAAAGTTGTTATAATCTCTCTTAATTTTCTTCTTTTGTGTTCGGCCTGTGGGTATCCCAAGGAACTTTTGGGGATGTTCCCTTATAAGAAAGCCATGGAGACGACTAAGGAAAAGGAGAGAAAGCCCCCAGACGAGATGGTCCATCTGGTGACCTTAGGAGACTTCCGTGGACCAGGGTTTGAAGAAGAAGGAAAATCATAACTGGGTGTACAGATAGCAAGGATTGATAATATTGTAGTTGAGACCATGGATGGAGAAATGGTGGAGAGAACAAGTGAGACAAGGGTAGAAAGGACCCCGAGACCTGGGGAAGCCCCAGGCATAACCAGAAGTATGCCAGTTTCTATTGACAGACACGTGGTCTCTTATAAAGATATAGTCCTCCAGCTAAATGGAAATGAGGACGACTTATGCAGTGGGAAGAGGACTGGATGACCATCCAGAGAAAGGAAGAGGAAGAGGATGATATCCTAGAAGAGGTTTGCCCTGAGAAACAAGTCAATCCGCTTTGTCCAGTGCATTACTTCTCAAAGAAACAGCATAAAGAGGATTGTAGAAGGTGGAGGAAAGCTCTTATAATCAAACTTATGGGCAGAAAAATTAGAAACCGTTTTTTGATGACTAGATTGAAGAACCAATGGAGACTCGGAGGGGGTATAGAGGTTGCCGATCTAGATAACGATTACATACTGATTAACTTCAAAGAGGAAAAGGACTACCAAAACGTCCTACATGGAGGCCCCTGGATAGTGGTGGACCACTACGTGGTAGTGCAGAGATGGAGGCCAATGTTTGACCCTTATGAGGAGGAAGTTACAAGAATAGTTGTTTGGGTTTGTATTCCGGGCCTGCCGATGAAATTCTACACAACCCATCACCTATGGAGAATAGGTAACCTCTTGGGCAAGACCCTCAAAGTACACAAAAATCTCCTGAGGAAATCTAATGGAAGGGAGGGAGAATACACAGAGAAAGCCAAGTATGCAAGGATTTGCATCGAGGTTGATATGAGGAAAAGCTTCGTATCCCAATTTCAGTTAGGAGAACTAGGTGACAAGATTTTATATGTGGCCTATGAAGGTTTGCATTTAATATGTTTCAGATGTGGACGCTACGGACACAGACAAGATATATGTAGTGGAGGGATATACACAGAGAAAACACCAGATATGGTCCAGGCAGGGATCCAGGTTTAGCTGCAGGGACCACATCACGACCACGGCTTCAGGAACGTCTCAAAGGAAGCATTTGGCTCCTGGATGGTCGTTCAGAAGCAGAACAGAGGGAGGAGATCTAAGAACATTCACCAAGGCTTACCGGAGGGGAAGAACAGAGTACAATCGGTAGAAAGAGCTGTTGGCCAAACCCCAAAGATTTTGATGGTGAGGGGCCCCAGTGGTGGTAGTTCCAATACCAGATTTGATATCTTGGTAGAAACAGACGAAAATGCAGACGTAGACTTGGTAAGTAGATTAGAACAGGGATCAGTCCCTATCAAAGAAGGGACCTCTTCGAATAGAGGCGGCGGACCAGCGGTTAAACACACAAAGTCAGTACAGGCTAGGCACGCAAAAGGATCTGATGGGAAAGGGAAGGCTATATCCCAAATGGATAGGGGTATGAATTACAATCCAAAACTGGCCCAAAAGGGGAATATGGGCCCAACTATTCAAACCAGCAAAGCTAGAGCTAGTGTTAAGGGCTTGGCCCAAGTTAAGACTCAATCCTTTACGAGCAACACATGTCCGACACCGTCGGTGACTGAAGCCACGTTAGCAGAGGAAAAAGGAGAGGAAGCTCAACTTAAACACCTAAAGGGAAAAGCGGAGAAAGAAATGCTCTCCCAAATGAGATACATGGATACCGCTCTAGACGAAGAGTGTAACACCCCGTATATATCCGGTAATGTTATCATTCTATCGTATTAAACTGCGCTTAATTAAAATGCGGAATATCTTTTTCTTTTCAATTATGATGTCATTAATCATTATCAACTTGATTACTTAACCATTTTCAAAACATTGCCTGTATGTATATTGCAATAAACAGCTAACTGGAATACCTCATTAATTAAATAAAATAAGTATGTCTCTAGACACGGAACTACAACACGTAGACCGGTCCAACTAGCAGTTTATACAACTCCAACTATAAGTACTAACATCAGTGACATTGACAATCCCCATGCTCACACACATAAGGCAACAAAGCCCACACCGTCTCAACAACAGTAACATAATAAAAGTAAGCTAATACATCAAATTAGCAGATATAACCAGCATCCAACATGTCAGTATAAATAACAGCAATATCATCAACTAAGGTCTGGCCTTCTGCCGCCAGAGACATCATCCCCCAAATTACCTGAACCTGAAATAAGCATTCCCCAAACGTGGGGTGAGATCTCTAAACAAGAAATCTCAGTAAGACAAAGGGTCCTCAAGGATCTTCCACCCCAAGCTCACTTACATGTGCAATATAAGTTCAAAAGAAGTTCATCAATATCATTTCTAAAACAGTGCAATGCAGCAGATAATCATGTCATATGTGTCAATACTATTCTACTGATCAGAGAAATGCAAGAATACGTCTATTACCCACACAATATGCAAGACGCTACTTGCACCCACCCACGGACTCACCATCTTGTATGACGCTACATACTCAGGCTTACCGACTAAGTGGAAACAACACATATATATTATAAGCCATTGCACATACCAGCTCAAAAGCATTTCAAAATATCCAAAGCATGTAACACAACATGCATATAACCATACCCCCATGGGACATGGTGAAACCACAACATGGCTAAACCGAGGACACGAAAGCTTACCTTGCGAGCTAACACTCCAAGCCAAGGGTCTAACCAATCCTCAAAGTCCAAACACAGTAGAATCACAATCTGATATGGACCAAATAATAAATCAATAAACATGCACTACAAGCATACATCATAAAGACAACGCCTTTCTTATACGTTTTACGTCTGGAGGCTTCACACAAAGCCATAAGCCCTTAGTCACTTGATTCTGACTTAGTCCAATTAATACAGAAGTTCAACTTCCTCAATCTAGGGTCCACAAACCCCCAATAGCTTACTGTATGAACAGTACAGCTACTGTTCTTCAAAATCTCAGAATATCCGGATATTCGTCGGGGACATATCCAGATATCAATATCCGGATATCAAAGCCCCCATATCCGGATATCAATATCCGGATACACATATCCGGATATTTCGTGACAGACAGCAGCTTCTGCATTCGCGAAGATATCCATCCAAGGTACCATTTTTAACACTTTAAAACGTCAAAGCATGCATTTTAAATCTGTTTTAGGTCCACATACCAGTTGGTTACTTGCTTAACCCATTTACATGCAAAGACATCACCTTTAAACCATTAAAACTCATAATCAAGGTTGGTACAACTTACCAAAGCTCAAAATAGAAAAGCAAAGGCTCTTGGAGCTCTCCAAACTGCCTTCAAGGTTCAGACTACCAAGGAATACGAAATGACAACACAAGCTTTGACCTTTCAACACAAAGGAAGCTTCTTGAAGCTCAAAATGCCACCACAATGGCTCCAACAACACCAACCCCCAAAATCAGCACCAAAAGCACCCAAGGACAACCCACCAACTCAGAATAACAAGCCTCTCACTCAACCCAACACAACCACAAGGTGTTTACAAGAAAGAACCAAGAGAAAAGATGATCATTTGGTGGTTTCCCATGAAGAAATGGTGAAGGCAAGGGAAAGAGACCCACACTCAGCAGCCACTCACGCACAAAAATTGATAAATCAAGCTAGGGTTGTGTGCATAAGTTGTATATATAGTCACTTAACAATTAAACACACAGTATTAACATTAATAGCTACGCTTAGCATTTTAATCACAAACTCAGGATTCTTAACCTACTCAATTTTACAAGAATTATTATATTTTTCTCATATTTTTCGCAGCACCTTTCCGGTACGCGCTTTTCATACCAATATCAGTTTCTGGCACTAGTTCTCATTATTTTAACTTGAAACTCGTTTTACAAGTCCTATATATTATTCTAGGAATTATCATGCACTTATTATATTTTTCCGGGATACTTTTTCGGTACGCATTTATACCGACTAGCAGAATCGGTATCTGCACTTTTCGTCAGAAAAACGACTTTCAACATTATTACTCACTTACTATAATTATTAAAGTCTCATAATAATTATTAGGGTCAATTATGGAATTATCTCATTAAACTTATAATTAACTGATTAATTTCCTTAATTAACGATGCAGGTTCTTACAAAAGAGGCTATGAGCAGAGGAATTGCCTGCATGCAACCCAGGACTTTGGTGATCCCACCCTCGGCAAGAAAGGAGAACTTACCTCCAGAAAGGCAAAAGGAGAAGGGGATTCAGAGATCGAGGAGTAATAGCCCAGCAAAATTGCTGATGGAGACCAGAGAATTGCAACCTCTTGTAGAAAGGAAGGCTAATGGGAGGAATGGGCCGCAGACACCCACCAAAACCCCCTCAGGTGTCCAATGAATGTTCTAGTATGGAACTGCTGAGGAGCGGCCAAGAAGCGGTTCAAAGGTATTATGGGAACAATGTCTAAGAAGCATAAGTGTGATATGGCTGTGATCCTAGAGCCGAAGGTGAGTGGTGTGCATGCCGCAAAAATTATTCGAAGTCTGGGGTACGATGATTCCATAATTGAGGAGGCAGTGGGATTTTCCAGAGGGATATGGATCCTCTGGAACCAGTCCAGCTGCTCGGTGAAGATAATTGAGAAGAGGGACCAATTTATTTTGATTCAAGTTTCCATTCCCAATAAGCAACCATTTTTGTTCATAGCTATATATGCCAATCCCAGAATTGAAATTCGTCAGACCCTATGGGACGATCTTCGTCGGCTTCATGCGTCGTTTGAGGAACCATGGTTACTTGCGGGTGATTTCAATGAGATTCTCACGGCGAGTGAAAAAAGAGGGGGAACACCTGTTAATCTCAGCAGATGTTCTGAGTTCTCCTCTGTGCTAGATGACTCTAAGCTACTGGACCTTGGTAGCTGTGGTTCTCGCTTTACATGGAAGGGTCCCAAGTTCTCCCACCTTGATCGTGTTTTCAAGAGACTGGACAGAGCAATGGCCAACACCCAGTGGAGGCTGTGTTATGAAGAAGTTGTGGTTAAGGTCCTCCCCAGGTTGTACTCTGATCATAGCCCTCTCCTTATTTCTCTGTTTAATTCTTCAACTGATTGGACTCCAAGACCATTTAGACTGTTCCCTCCTTCGCTAGAGCATCCTAACTTCAAGCAAGTTTTGGAGGAGAATTGGGACTCTCATTCTGAGACTTCTGCAAACCTCTCCAGATTAGTGCCCATTCTGAGAGACTAGAACTATAATAACTTTGGTATCATCAGTAGAAAGAAAAACTCCTTGATTCGAAGGATTGAAGGATTACAAAGGAAACTAGACTATGGTTTTAATCATTTCTTAATTAAGCTGGATATCTCCTTGAGATGCGAGCTTGAGGATACTTTGGAGATGGAATAACAACTGTGGTATCACAAAGCTAGAACGTTTTGGATTAGAAACACAAAGTTCTATCACACTGTGGCTATCACTAGGAGACGTAGGAATAAGATCCTGGCTCTAAGGAACGAAGTGGGGTTATGGGTTAGAAGTGATGAAGCTCTGAAAAATATAGTGACCAGTTTCTATGTCAACCTATTCACTGAAGACCAGCCAGTCAGGTGTTGGAGAAGTTCCTCAACCTCTTGGCCCCGTCTTGATCCCAAAGAGGTTCAGAATTTAAACAAACCTTTTTCGGATGGAGAAATTAGGATTGGCTTTTTCCAAATGGGCCCGCACAAGGCGCCTGGGCCCGATGGCTTTCCGGCAGCCTTTTATCAAAGCAACTGGATTTTTCTGGCAAACAAAATGTGCAATGATGTTAGAAACTACATTGAGAAGCCAGAGGATATCTGTAACATCAATGAAACTTAGTGGTTTTGATTCCCAAAGTTGATAAGCCGGAGAGAGTTGAACAATTTCGGCCTATAGCTCTGTGTAACGTTTTGTACAAAGCAATAACCAAGCTTATTGTCAATAGACTGAAACCAGTGATGGACAAACTAATCTCTCCTTTCCAAACTAGCTTTGTCCCAGGGAGAATTATCCATGATAATGTGATCATAGCGCAGGAGATGACACACCCCATGAATAGGCTAACTGGTAAGTGAGCATACATGTCTGTCAAGATTGATCTAGCCAAAGCGTACGACCGTTTGAATTGGAAGTTTGTTAACTATATTCTGTTAGAGGCTGGCATCCCCTAGCACCTGGATAATATTATTGAGACTTGTATAAACTCAACTAATTTTCAGGTTTTGTGGAATGGCAGCCCCTCGAACAAGTTTAGTCCAACTAGAGGCATTAGACAAGGCGACCTGATCTCTCCATATCTGTTTGTGCTATGTATGGATAAGCTATCCCACCTTATTGCTGAAGCGGTCCGAAGTAAGAGGTGGAAACCGATGAAAGTAGGTAGGAAGGGTCCCCTTATTTCCCACCTTATGTTCGCAGATGACTTAGTCCTCTTTGGGGAAGCGAACCTTGAACAGTTAGGGGTGATGATGGACTGTCTAAAGGAATTTTGTGACATGTCTGGCCAACTAGTGAGTATTGAAAAGACAGTGATTTATTTTTCTAAGAATACTCCTCCTGCAGTTAAAGAAGAAATTTCCAGAACGAGTGGCTTCTCGGCAGCCAGCTTTTTAGGAAAGTGCCTAGGATCAATGTTATACCATGGTCGGGGGAGAAGAAGGAATTATGCTGGTGTCCTGGATGGGGTCAAAATGAGATTGGCCAAGTGGAAGAGTCAGCTCCTTTCATTTGCAGGGAGGGTTACTCTTGCCAATTCTGTTCTTAGCTCTATTCCAGTGTATCATATGCAACATGGAGACCTTCCTATCTCTATTTGCAAGGAGATTGAGCAAATCCAACGTGCATTTATTTGGGGAGACCCAAGGGAGAAGAAAAAAGTGCACCTTATAGCTTGAGAATCTTTGTGCAAGCCTAGACAGGTAGGAGGGCTGGGAATCCATAATCTGAAGGTCCATAATGCTGCCTTTATGCACAAGCTCGCCTAGAGACTGATAAACACTAAGGACTCTTTATGGGTGCAGGTTCTTAGAGGCAAATACGAAAGAAAGATGTATCTCAGAAGACAGGTTAAAGTTCAATCCTACGACTCTTCCTTGTGGAAAGGGGTGGGTAGTGTGTGGAATGAATTTTTGGACAGTATGCAGTGGTATGTAGGTAATGGGAAGGACATCCAATTTTGGCATGACAAATGGACCTACCTAGAGAGACCCATATTTGAGTACTCCTTGGTAAATTCGTTGCTAATTGATACTGATATCAGAGTGGCAGAGCTGAGAAATCACAGAACAGGTGATTGGGACATGGATATTCTGAAACTGATGGTTCCGGATGAGGCTATGAACTCTATTAAAGCTATCCTCCCTCCCTCAGAGGAAGGGGAGAAGACTGCCTGATTGGGGGGGAATCTGGGTTCCCAAAAGAACGTGGTTAAGTTAGCCTATAATCATCTGATGAAATTTGATTTCCTGGAGGTAGACCCAACTTGGCAGGCAATTTGGAATTGGAGAGGACCCCAAAGAATCCGCTGTTTTACGTGGATGGTTTACCATGGGCGAATTCTAATGAAGGAGCAAACAGCCAAATGGAGTGGATCCCCCCTTTGTCATGTCTGTGTCTCTAAAGTTGAGAGTATCTCCCACGTGCTCCGAGACTGCAGCAAGGCTACATCTGTGTGGCTGGAGTGGTTCGCAGGTAAGCCCCTTTCTGATTTCTTCTCTCTGACTACTAGTGACTGGCTCAAGAAAAACCTGGGGAAGGGATGGCCGACTTGTCAGTTGTCGGATTGGAGGGATATTTTTCCTACCACTATCTGGTTCCTCTGGAGATGGCAAAATAATGAAATCCATGATACTTCCTTCTCTAGACTAGTTAACCCCATCCTTGTTATTTCAGCCTACATTAGAGATATTAGAGCTAGTATGTTGTACCGCAACCAGATGCAAGACCACACTCAGGCCAGATTGTGTGCGAAATGGGTAGCCCCCCCATGGATGGTGGAAACTTAATGTGGACACTGCTGTGAAGCAGGGACCTGTCCTTGCGGTTTGTGGAGGGCTTATAAGGGATGAGCAGGGCTGCTGGGTCTCTGGTTTTATGTACAAGGTTGGTAGCTGCTCTCCCTTAATAGCAGAACTTTGGGCTATATTAATGGGAGTTCAAATGGCGTGGGATTGTCATGCGCAACACCTTATTGTGGAGAGTGACTGCCTTATTGCCATCCAAGCAATTAACTGGGTAGATGGAGTTGGCCTTCAGCATCAGCTTATCAACAGCATTAAGAGCTGGGCTAACAGAGACTGGTCAATAAATTTCATTCATGTGAGTAGGAAATGCAATGCAGGAGCTGACCGCCTTGCAAAGCTAGCTTTTACTACTAGGGAGTCCTTCGTATTGTTACCTTATGCTCCCTCTGAATTGAATCCTATTTTGGATTCAAATTTTTCTTCTTTGTAGCTTCTTTTGGGCATTTGCCCCTCTGAAATACTAAAAATAAAAATAAAAAGGGAAAATGTACTAAGGTAAACTAAAGATAGATATCAAGGTTGTTGAATCTCAATACTATCGTGTATCGTTTGATCGGGCTTTTATATCGTGTATCGTATCGAATCGTAATATACAGAAATATAATAAAAAATAATTTAAAAATATATAATATAATTAATATCATATAAATCCAAATTCTAAAAAGGATCTAATAAGCAAAATACATAAGTAATTAAACTGCAAACCAATTATTATCCTACTCATCAATCATTAAGATTAATATTATTTCTACTATTATTATCGGTATCTATCAGTGACGTAACTAATTCATCATCCTCTTTAAAAATGGATCCTTTTAGGTTTTTTTTTTGATTTAAATCGCAAATCAAATTTTATTTCTTTTTTTATATTAAAAATTACATACTTTGATTAATTGTGGTATCGTATGATACACGTATAATATCATATCGTAAGATACAACATCATATCGTTCGACATAAATCCTTTTCTGATAAACCCCACGATATGTATCTCAACGCTTATTAATCGCATTGTATTGTATGAATAATATCGTATATTGCAAGATACTGATAACTACGATAGAGATGTATAAAAGGGCAAAAGCCAAAAAGAGAGTAAGAAAGTAAGAAAAAAATGACAATATAAGGAATTAAAATAATTTTTTTTTTCAATATCCCAGGTGGTTGGACATAAAGGAACTTCGCAATTATAATATAAATTTTAGAAGGTCATTTAAGCCTTATAAACCTTAGTATTTTATTCACACACGTCCAAAATTATAAAAGTTTTACATAAAAAATACAAAAATATCAGACCAGACCAATAATTATTTACATCCAATAATATTATTTACAAACTTTTATATATATATATATAGTGACGGACCCGTATGGAATAGAACATGCTGAGCCAAATCTATGGAAAATCTGCTTTGTTTAGATCGAGAAAATCGTACGTTTGGGCATAGCGGGCCCCGGCGGGAGGCCTGCATGACGGGCTATTAGCTCAGTGGTAGAGCGCGCCCCCGAACACAGCTTACAACTTTCATCGTACTGTGCTCTCCAAAGAGCAACTCTTGGATCTCACCTGAATCGCCCCATCTATCTTCCTGAGGAGAAGTTTGGTTTCTTTTTGATTCTCGAAGAAAAGAATGGGGGGACAAAAGGATTGATCGAGAAATATTTCTTGTTCTTATTATAAGATCGTGATTGGAAAAATTTGCGGAAAACTGAACAATTATACAATATCTGCCTTATGTAACACGTTGGGAAACTCTGACATAATGAATCTATTTGATTGCATGGGTACATTTGATTTAATCGAAAAATCAATGCAATAGCTAAATGATGATGGGCAATATCGGTAAGCCATAAACTTTGTGGATCGACAAATTATTGGGCCGAACTGGATTTGAGCCAGCGTAGACATAGTGCCAACGAATTTACAGTCCGTCCCCATTGACTGCTCCAGCTTATCACCGGCAGTCTGCTCAGGGTTCCAAACTCAACGTTGGCAACTAAACACGGCTAACTCTGTGCCAGTAGCCGCGGTAAGACAAAGGATGCAAGCGTTATCCGGAATGATTGGGCGTAACCATAAAATTTAATTTATGTCCGCACACTTAAAGAAAGTGAATGCGTGGTGAAGGGGCTAGACACTTTCTATGCTAATTAAGAAGAAAGTCTTTTATTTAAGTACTCACCACATCAAAAACTGTCGTAAAATCAATAAGGATGCATGTTAATTTTCCTTTACCGTAAGCAAGAATCAAGCAGTCTATGATTCTGTCCAAAATTCCCAAGGTAAGAAAAATCTGGGTTGTGTGTTTACATTTCTAAATACCACTTTCTGGAAAGCATAGCATAAAATCGTGGATAATGAAACTCAATGCATGGATATAATAAATGACATAAAATTTGGTAATTTACCTCACACCTTCAACCCAACAAGAGAAAGGTTCTCTGTAAGTACTAGTAACGATCATAGGAGTACAATAACAAAATACATGTTTCCCTTCAAAGTTCCTACGTGCATTTCTCCCATTGCCTTGGTGTTCTTCAAAACCCCAATGTGGGTTCGCCAGTGTGTGTATATATATATATATGTATGAGAAAAATATTTCTCAATTAGTTTAAGATATATTTATCTTCGTCCAACTAAAAATTATGTCATTTTATTTATTTTCTTATATTAATTGATTCACCTTTAAATTGTTATGATTTCCTTTTATTTCTCTCTTCCTTTATCACTATTTATCATTTTTTGTACGGTTATGATTTAACAGTCAGAGATAAAGTTATCTCAAAATATTTGAGAAACGATAAACCTTATATATGTATATATATATATGAAAAATATTTTTACAGCTACTTTAGATAAGGTTATCTATAGATACCAAAAAACTACGTCGTTTTGATTAATGAAGGGTGTTTATGTAATTTTAGGTCAATTAATGAAGGGTGTTTCAGTAACATGAATATGATAAAAAAATAAGCAAAATTACGAAAACACCCTCTATTAATTCACCTAAAATTATAGAAACACCCTTCATTAATCAAAACGACATAGTTTTTGGGGTAGCTGTAGATAACCTTATCTAAAGTGGCTGTAGAAATATTTACACCCCCCCCACACACACACACATATATATATATATATATATATATATTATATTTTAGAATTAATATTTATCGTATGCGTAGGAGATAACATTATTTATCTTTTGCGCTAAGGGGGTAATGAACCAGACGATCTATCACGGGCCTATGACTTTTTGGGTCACTAGTCGGACCGGTGGATCACTGGTAAGATCGTTTGACCCAGATATATATAAAATATATATAAAAATGGGAATGAAGTTTTTAAAGTTACTTTAAAAAAATTTGTCTTATGTTCATCAAACCGATGTAGTTTTGATATTGAACGATTAAAAAATTAGAATGATAAAGACTATTATAACCCTGAAATAAATTAAAATTACAAACACACTATGATTTTCGCTCCAAAACGACATCGTTTTAGTGAACATTAGACAAATTTTTCTAAAGTAACTTTAGAAAAAAAATGAACCATGTAAAAATATATATAAATATGAATATATAAATTTAATTATATTCTCCGTAAGGAAGATTATACTTACAACCTGTTTTCGTTTACAACTACATCTTAACCGTTGATTTTCGTTAATTAACGATTATCATTTATTGCGAATTAATAATTAATTAATGAGTTTGATTTGTGAAAATAATAATCGTTGATTAGCGAAAATCAACAGTTAAGATATGGTTGTAAAATGTTGTAATTGAAAATAGGTTATGAGTATAACCTTTCTCATTCATAAAGCAATGCTCACTAAATAAACTTAAAAATTACCCAATCACAAGTTCATAAAGCACAAATAAATGAAATACACGCTATTACTATATCAGTTTAAATTGTAAAGAATTCCCATAAGCATACATCTCAATGATATTCAAAAGACCAGTTGTTGTGAACTCAAATTTTTCAAATTCATCTGCATTGAAATGATATGAAATGATATATGTCACATTCTCTTAATTTATTGTTCTACAAATTATTTTAGTATTGGAAGCTGAAATTTGAAATCATTGTAAAAAAATATATTATTAGCAAATAAAATTATAATTTTTTTTGAAAAGAGTTTTAATTTTTTTTTTACAAGTTGTAACAATTTTTATTTTTATTTTATTTTATAAAAATGCATGACACGACCGGGTGCGATTTTGGTATATTTTTGACCGGATCCGATACTTGACTTGAATCAGTCCAATGACCAGTTTGCCCGGTTTCGAGTCGACTCGGCCGGGTCAGACCGGATTTCACAACACAGATTTGCCTAGACTGACATTCGAGTCTATATTGTATTATTTATTTTAATTAAAATAAAATGATTTATTATTTCATTTATTTTTTATAATTCTTGATAAGTACCGAAGGCTTTAAATAAATGAATAGGCTTATGTTAAACATTTTAAAATTTTAATATAGGTCAAAGTCAAACCACATCTCTAATCTAACTTACACTAAACTTATTGGCTATGTCAAATTCAATTTTTTTTTATAGACTTGACCTATTTAACCTGCATATAGATGTAAGTAGGACTCATTTTTCCTTCTTTTTCCTTCTTCCTCATAGGATGCAGGGAGATACTAAAGAAATATTAAATCTTGTATTATAATTGATTTTCCGTGTTAACTTTGATTTTTTTACCTTAACGAAAATATAGAGAAATATCACTCTGGATTGGTGTATAGATGTAAGTAGGACTCATTTTTCCTTCTTTTTCCTTCTTCCTCATAGGATGCAGGGAGATACTGAAGAAATATTAAATCTTGTATTATAATTGATTTTCCGTGTTAACTTTGATTTTTTTACCTTAACGAAAATATAGAGAAATATCACTCTGGATTGGTGTGTTTCAAGCCTTATTCATTTTAAGGCTATGAGTTATTTTAATTTCTTTTAGGCAAATCCCTATTTAAAAAAATAAAAGTATTATAACAGATACAACGACGTCGTTTCTTGGAAGATGAAAAAAGCGATTTGATTTATGGTACAGGGGTTGGTCCATTAAGCAGAAACGAGAAACAGAGCCCTTCAGACTTGAGAGGACGATGGAAGAAGAAGAAGCTAGACAGCAAGAGTTGCTATGGAAATCGGAGCCCCGACCCGAAACCATAGTATCCGTGACGCTCGCACGTGCCATGACTTGCCTTCTCAGTACCCGTCCGAAGAAGCTCCACGACTCTATTTCTCGCCTTTCATCACACTCGCACCCTCCAACGCCTTCAACGGCTTCTCTCGAGGACTCTCTCTGGTTCTTCCACAACTACGTAACAGACGCCGCAAAAAACAACCGTTCCTTCGATCAAGTTCTCGTTCCCATCATCGATAACGCATTGAAGTGCAAAGACTCCTCCAAGCACGGTGGCCAAGCCATGATTCTGATGAACTGGCTCTTTCAGGATGAGCTTCTTTTCGAACCCGTCGCTCAAGGCCTTGCTGGCATCGTCACTTCCAGAAAGGACGATCGCTATTTGTTGTTCGGTTGGTGCCTCCTTATTCGGAGTCTCGTCGAATTCGAGAATTCTGTTCATCAATCCATGTTTGGTGGTGAGTTTGCAGTTTTCACTCTTCCTGCTTCAACTGTTAATAGAAAAATATGTGTTAATGTGCTTCTTCTTTTCGGTGTAATTGACTTGTGTATGGTAGGAATAAGGGAGAGGTATGGTGATTTGTTGAAGATATTCTCCACTCGCATTCCGGATTTGGCAGGCATTGTGAGTAAAGGAAGGTATTGTTATTTCTGATGAATCTCTTTTTGCTTTTTAAAGAATAATGTAAATGGAAGTTAATGTTGCTTAGTGGTTGATTTTGCTTATACGCAATGTAATTATATGTTTATCATTTATCAGATATGTTGCCGAAATGAATTTCTTAGCTTCTATCTTCAGTGAATAATAAGAGCATTTATGTTTCTTATTTGGTTACCTTCTGTATTGGCTAATTAATATATTTTAGTTATCTTGCATCATTAATCCGAGCGTTCATCGAAATTGTGCCTTTCTCTCTTTTTTCTCCTCCCCATCCCTATCTTTTATTGTTATAATTTTATAAAAAGGATGCCTGAAACTAATGCATGTTAGTCAACCTATGTGGTTGCATTTGAGTCAATGTAGCAGTTTGCTGTCGGGAGATAACATTTTGTTGGCTGGAAACATTTGACTGATTATTGATGTGGTGTAATGATAATATCAGTTCTAAACAGCTGTTTATCTTCATAACTCTGCTGTTTTGTGTTTGTTGGTGTAACATGATATCCATTTATTTTTCCAATGTCAACTCTATATCTCTTCCTCTTGTCCCTTTTATTGTTTAGCATCTAATTTTTCTTTTTATTAATTCTTTAACTATTCTATCAATTTTTGTTATCTGAACACTGGCTCTTCAGCACTTTGCAGGATGGTTTTGAGTTGCCATCTCGCCTTGGAGTGTCTGCTGCTGATTGTTTGTTGACCCTTTCTGGAGCATTAACTAAAACGACTGAGCTTCAAGGTAAGAAGTCAAAATTAAACACAAGAGCAAAAGATCGAGCAATTACTTTTGTACAATCTCCTACTGTTGACAAGAAGGAGAAACTGGATTCAAAATCTTTGATGATGTCAAAGGTTGAAAAGGAATATACCCTGTGGCATCATTTAGATGACATTATTTGTTTGGTGCAAAGACTCCTTGCTGTAAGTTATATACTTTTAAATCTTGTCTGAATCATTTATCTTTTAGACAATGTGCCATATATTGATAATATGCAACTAACCAATTATGATATCCAATTAGGAAAGTTATATTGAATAAATGAACATTAGAAAGTGATGGCATTATTTAACTGTACAGTCCATGGACAAGAGATTTAGAAGGTCATCCGTGGGAGCATTTTTTATCATGTTGAATTTTGAAACAAAATCTGTTCTGATTTTAGGTTCATGGCTATTCATAAGCGCCATTATTGTGTACTTATAGCTTGTTTGGATCTTTTTTTTTTTTTAAGCTAGAAGCTACTTTTAAGCTAAAACTAAAAAAAAGAGCTTAAAAAAAGAAGCTAAAAGCTGTTTGGTGATTATATAAAATTTTTCGCTTAAAAGTTACTTTATAGCACATATTTCACGAAAAGCCTCTCTCTCTCTACGGCTCTTCATTAAAAAAAAAACACAATTCAAGAAAAGCTGATAAGAGCTTAAAAAAAAACTCCTCCTAGGAGCTTTTGGCTTTTTTCTTCATTACAAAAAAAAGAGCTTTTCTCAAACCCTGTTTGGCCTAGCTTTTACTTATAAGGAGAAGAGAAGCTAAAAATAAGAGGATCCAAATAGGCACTTAACATTATATGGATCTGCATGTTGAGTAAATGGAATGAAAACAGAGGCTATTGAACTCTGTTCTTCCATTTATTGCATACTTCAATGTTGCCTTCTGTTGAACTTTGCACTGAACTTATTCTGTTGTTTGATATTTAACCCTAGTACCCTACATTGCAGTGGAGCAAAAAAAGTCGCTTTTTACATGCCAAAGGCTTGGAGCAAGTTCTTAAATGGTTGGAGGAGATAAAAGGTCACTATGGGTCCTTTCAAAATGAGGCAGGTTCTGGAATCAACACATTTTTCTTTGGCTACTTCATATTTAATTCATTTACTTAGTATTCTATGAATTATAATTTTTTTTTGTCTGCAACATTGAAGACAGATTCTAATGCTCTCAAGACTGGGGATTTACTACTCTCTTCTTGCTGGAAGCATTATAGCATGCTATTACACTTGGAAGATCAGAAATTTTCGCAGCATTACAAGGAACTGTTGGACCAGTATTTGTCTGGCATTCAGGTTTTATGCAATAGAGATTAGCTATAATGATGTTTCCAAATAATTTGAGCAATCTCCTTATGTCTCAATCTATGTCAGATGGTCGCTGTTGGATGTTTGCCAATGGAGATAAACTATTCATGACTAGTTTATCTTGTTTGCAAAGAGAATATATGCTGACTTGACATCATAATATAAAGATGTTTAGGCTTTAATGTATTTTCTGCATATATGGAAGGGAATGTGTCTCTGGATAGTGTATTTGATTGTATTCCCTCCTCACAAGCTTCAAGGTTTAAATATATTTTTCCCATGATCAAATAGGTTAGGTTGAGGGGTAAATGTATTATTCGATTGCAAGTGATGTGTAAGTTGACCATTGAAATTAATGTGCATACTGGACAGTATTGTAATAATCTGTTCACAGTTTAAGCTCTGCTCCAATTCAATGTATCATATTTGGTGTTTTAAATTTTAATTGTATGTTTGTGGTGTTGCACGTTCATTGGGACATAAAAATATAAAGTAGGTTGGTCTTTTGGTCTGATTAAAGTAATGTGATATCTTGGATACATTTGGTGATAGGTAACATTGGCATGAAATATATTGCGGATTTATGAAACTTCTGTTGACTTATGATGTCTTAACTCTTCCCAACCTTAATTAATAAGGTAACATCAGGAATGCAGTGAAAATAAAGAAACAAAAAGGATCGACATATTAGGTTTTTTGATGTAATTCTGCTAGAAATAAAAAAAATGTAGCGGAAAAAAAACTGATTATCCTTCTATCATCCTTTTCTGGGGTGGGGTAGGGTTTTTATGGGAGGAAGTGGTTGGAGAATTTCAAGTGATCTAGTGGAATGTTTGGGAGGATTTGGAGATAATTATTATTTCCGCAATCTTATTGTAAGTATGGGTGTTAGTGTGTTACATATCATCTTGCACTTTATGAAGTGGAAGTCTCGTCTTAACTCTGTAAAATATACTGATCATGTAATGTTAAGCTGGGAGTAGATGATATTTTGATTAACAAAGTAATATTATGCATTTGACATCTCTAGCAAATTTGTGGCGAGTGTTTTACTTACATTTTAGCACTTTATATGGTGAGTCGGTGACTGCTACTGGCTAGAGCCACATTTGTTTTAAGTGGGTTAGAAATTGATCAGTAGGTCATAGTATATGGTATGATGACATGTTAAATCAATTCTTTGGGGCTTCTTGCAATTGTATGTGATAGAATTGTTTATTTGCTGATATCCATGAAAACTGCAGTATTATATGGACAACCACTCTGGTGAGTATGCTGACAAGAAGGATGGTGGGTTGGAGACCAGAAAGTTTTTCCTGAATTGTTTATGCCTACTACTGGGACGCCTGGACAGCAAGAAATTTGAAAGCGTGGTGTCAGAATTCGGGATGAATATCTCACGCATTCTAGTCCCACAGGTACCTCACCGAAAGTTTAGAGGAAATATATTGCAGATATATTTATAAACAAGGCCATTGCACAACTATTTAATTCTGCAAATGAATGTTTTATATGTATTCTCCTTCAAAATCTTGCATATACTTTCCTATGCATCAGGTTTAATATTCAATTATTATCGTTTGAAATTTAGAATAAGGATATCATTTGTTAGTATTTTTGCTACACCTGTAGATTAGTTATTGTCTGTTCTGACTTCTGAGTTCTGACCTTATATGACATGGTATTGGCAGTGCCCTGAATGCTGTAATAATGCCCTTGGCATTTGAAAGACAGATCAATGCTCAAATTTTGAGCAGTGTAATTTGCAGGAGGCACTGATATTTTGTCAAGTTTTAGATAATATAGTTAACATTTGGCTTCCCGTGATGAATTGTCAAAGCAGAGCACTATTTGTAAAGAATCAATTCAACCCAAAAGCTTAAGCTGTTGGGTGAGGTTACATTAATGATTTTATATATCTCAACACACCCCCTCATACGAGAGCCCACTGGGCTTGAAGCGTGGACAATGCACAGGCCCACCTACTTGTGCTAAGAAATTCCACAAGAGAAAGCGGGGGGCGGTGAGGATCGAACCCGAGATACGAAGCTCTGATACCATGTAAAGAACCAATTCAACCCAAAAGCTTAAGCTGTTGGGTAAGGCTACATTAATGGTTTTATATATTGCTTAACTTAACAAATTCCAGAACTACCCGACATTCAAAATTTTAAGTTCACATAGTTGATAGAGATCTTTCTGACACGATGGTCTTGCTTTTAAGTTCTTTCAGGTCGTGTTAAGTGAAATGGTTTTAAAGAAAATGGGAATGGGATAATCATCCCTATTGGCATATATGAATTATGATATGGTAAAAAATAAAATGAATATTCTTTTTTATCCCTCCATGCCAAATTACACAAGAATAAATAAGATACTTCACGTTGATGGAGATGGGTGTGAGCACAATGGCAGTAGCAAATGGTGTAGATGTAGCAATTGCAGGTTAAGTGTCACAGATATATAAAAACCATTAATGTAGCCTCACCCAAAACCTTAAGGTTTTGGGTTGAAGTGGTTCTTTACATGGTATCAGAGCTTCAGTGACCACAAGGTCACGAGTTCGATCCTCGTCGCTCCTCACTTTCTCTTTGTGGAATTTCTTAGTGTAGATAGGCTGAGATTGATGCATCATCCACCCTTCAAGCCCAATGGGCTCTCGTGTGAGGGAGCGTGTTAGAGATATATATAAAAACCATTAATGTAGCCTCACCCAAGAGCTTAAACTTTTGGGTTGAATTGGTTCTTTACATTAAGGATGAGGATTTTGTAATTTAATAGGAAGACAAATGTTATACGTTTAAATTGAATCGATCCTTGATGTAATGGAATGTGAATTTCTTTGGATTCCATAGTAGCTACCAAACACTTTTATTCCGTTCCCATTCTCACCACCCCAATTCCAACAAATCAAACATATGACTAAATAGGGTATTGATCTTAATGTTAAAGAAAGATATGTTAGTTGTTTTGTCAAAGCTTTCTATGATGCCATTTGAGGTTGAGGGAAAGAAAAAAATAATTATTTCAATTTATTACTGTGTAATGCAGTTTTTCCTATTTCCTTGGAGCCTTTCTTGGTTCATCAGGACTTCTGGTTTTCCTTGGTGGATGATACAGACACTGTATCTGCTATGAGTAATTTGGCATATATTGCATATATGTATAGATTATATGATTTGCATGTTATCTAGCTTCTTTTGAGTTATGATGCACTTAGAAGTCAGTTATTAATCAAACTGTGGTTTAGTAATTTGGGTATAGATTTTCTTATCAAAGTGATAGTGGAACTTAATTTTAAATTTAATTGTCCCTCCTTTGTCTGTAGCTTAATTGCACTGATGAAGATTTGATAGTTGGGGTGGTTTCAATATTCAAGGCTATCATTTTGAAGCCAAATTACTCACAAGAAGATACACTTCCTGACAGTAGGCAGTCGAATATTGTGATGCCTTTTCTGCTTCACCTTCTAGATGAGCGGGATGGTACATCTAGAGCTGTTGTTATGCTGATAGCAGAATACTGCTCAATGTAGTCAGTCTTTCCTTTCTCATATGATACTGAGCAGGATTACTTTTAAGCCAAAACTCTTTCTGTTTTTAAAGTTAGAACTGATGTGCATGATAATCCACCAGGAGCAAAGATGATAAATGCCTAATGGCAATTCTAAAGCGCCTTGCTTCTGGAAACATTTCGCAGAGAAGAAATGCTATGGATGTTATATCGGAAATCTTCCATATATCATCAGGGTCACAAAAATTATTGCCTCATTCTGCTTGGTATGACTGCTTATATAGTTATACCATTAGTTTTAGTTGTTTGTATATTTATTTGTTTATATGTCTATTTTAGGCAAGATATAGCCAACAAATTGCTAGAGCGGCTTGGAGATGAAGAAATTGTGATTCGTGAGCAGGCATCCAAATTGCTTCCAGTGATAGGTTAGCATTAAAACTGAAATATAAGTTGTAGTTTTTATAATTTTTATGTGTATGTTATATAAATTAAAAAATTATCGGGCCTTCCTGTAATGGATGGACTTTTAGGATGATTGTTTCTTGACCTACTGTTGGAGCCTCTTTATCCGAATGATTAAGCATTTTTTCCAAACCATCATTCTTGTTTAAAATTAAATTTCAAGCACAAGATATTGTAGCTCTGTGCTTTATTCATGCCTCAAGTCCAAAGGACTTTCCTGTCAGGTGTGTGTGAAATGTAATTAAAAGCAATTTCTGAGCTCACACCTAATATCTTAATCGTTTAGGTTGATTGCTTCTTTTGCATTTTCCATCTTTTACTTCTCTCTTCCTTTATTTCCTCTGTTAAATGCTTCATTCTTTGTTATTATTTGTCGTGCTCCTTTCTCACCTTGACTTGCACATATCTATTTAAGCACTAATGTTTTCATATAGTCCCGCACCACATTATGGTAATCTAGTAAATGTCTTGTCACCAAAACATGTATACTAGCATATATGAATGTTTATGACGCCTACTGCTTTGTCCTACAAACATTTGGTGGTCATTACTCACATATATATTTGTCTTTTTTGGTAATTTTGTTTCCATTTTTTTATGGTGGCACATTCTCATTGCTGAATTACTTACTCTTGCAGACCCTTCATTGTACTTGCCTGCATTGGTTGGTCTTGTTTACTCTACAGATGAGAGCCAATCATCTGCTAGTGATGCCATCATTGGGGTCCTCAAACGTCACAACCAGAGAATTGAAGTCATATTGTTGCTTCTTGACTGTCTTAGGTATGTTTTCTTTTATTCGTTTCTCCTTCTACTGGGACTTTAAAATTGCAGAGCTGAACTTATAAAAGCATAAATCTGAAAACTTCTGTCTCTAGAGCTGGAGTTCGAAAACTATGAATCTTTTGATATGTGATGATATCAATGCTTGACTGAAAGCTTTGCATCCTTATCCTTGCAGCAACATCCGCGAAACCCTAGATCTTCCACAGTCCACTGAAGATAAAGGTAGTGTGTGTGTGTGTGTGTGTATATATATATATATATGGGATGATTATATTGACTATCTATTTAATTTTCCTACCCTTACTACCTTTTTTATCACCGTTGATTATATTTAAATTAATGGTCTCAAATATAATAATGTTTTTTATTTTATTTGTCTCTCCCTTATTTTTCTCAACTAATTACACCAATTGTTTATCACCGTTGATTTAAATATAATCAACAATGATAAAAAGGTAATAAGGGTAGGAAGATTAAATAGGTATGCAATATAACCGTCCCTATATATATATGTGTGTGTGTGTATTCCCCCTCCCATTCGACGTTACAATTTGACAGTCTATGCATGAGCTGGTTTCATTGTTTCCCTAGTTCTATTGTATATATCGTTATCTATATAACGGTAGGTTCAGCATTTATTGACACCTATATAAAAGTAGACTAGTTTTGTACCATTTAATAACTTCTCAAGGGTGATTTCTTACAAAAATCTTCTGTTATCGGATGTCATTGACTTGTAGATCATTTTTGTAAAATTTCATATCAATTTCAAATAGGTTTTTATGGCCGTAAGTATTACCTACAGCTAAAGTTCTTCAAGTTTTGATAAATTGAAGAAAGTATCACAGTTTGATGTGGAAAAAAATGCTTGCTTCATTTGAAATTGTGCTAGATCATTCAATAACTTGTTAAAATCCAACTGTCAGATTTATGAAAATCACATTCTGGATTTTAATTTAATAGTGTAAGCGTGCTCAGTTTTATTGTTGCCAGTTAATCCAGACAGGCGTATATAAGAATGTATATACATATTATTTTAATGTGTTTTATCAATACACACAGACATACACAGTACTGTCTATTTGAAATTGTGATAACTTATTGATATTCTTTTCTTTATTTACAACTGTGAATATAATATTAAGCAATAGGTAATCTCAGTTTCTAGGCTGTGCACTTCAGCATTCTATTCTTGTTGGTTAAAAACACTGCCTCCATTATGTTTTCTTCAATGTCAGGGTCAAAGTCGGATCCTGACCGAGTACTCAAACTGGTTCCAGAGTGGTCCAAAAGTGTAAGATTTATTATGCAATTATGAATATAGCTGTGTAGTGGCCACAATCTTATTTCTTTCTTTTTTAAAATGCTAGAACCTGATCTGCTGATCAAGAAATAGATGATTGATATATTTATTAGGGAAAAAAGTAAACCAGTTAACTTGATTAAAGGAAATCGTAGACTTCTAAGATATTATAGCAGTCATAAATGCAAATAGATTCTTTTAACATTTTAATTCTGCTAAAGCAATGTTGTGTACCAGAGTCCTTTTATCTTGTCAAGAACCAAATAATCCCAAAAGCTTGAGTTGTTAGGTGCACATCCGTTGATGGTTGTTTGTCTTTAATCTGCCCCCTTACATGAAAGCCCTTTGTGCTCCAAACATAGATGCCATGCCACTAGCCCACCTAACCTAGTTAAAATTTAATTTGATAATGAAGAGTTGGGGTGGCTACAATCAAACTCTTTAATTGTTTGGTAGAAGTTGTTCCAGTCCATGTTAAGAACCAAATCATCCCAAAGCTTAAGCAATTAGGTACAAGCCCAAGAATAGTTTCTTTTATCTCTAACAAAACTCAATCCCTGAAAGTTGAAGTTTGACACAAATTTTTGGTTTGAAGTTGTTTACTACCCTTTGACATCTATTTCCCCCTAGATATGCATCTGTGGCTTGACCATGTACATTCACATTTTGTCTATGTTCTGTTGGTTGTCTGTGATGCAATGATGTAAACATTTACTGCACAAATGGTAGTTCTTTGCTGTCTTTTTCTTTGTAGATTTTCTTAGCTGTTAATAACTTTGTTCCAATAAATGCACCTTCAGACACAGATAATTTAGATTAGTGAAAGTATTCTAATTTGTTAATTCCAATGTATAACAGGTTCAAAACTGGAACTTCTTAGTTGGACCACTGGTTGACAAGATGTTTGCAGATCCATCAAATGCAACCATTGTCAGATTCTTGAGTTATATAAGTGAAACCCTGGCAAATGTTGCTGATCTTGTGTTGCATCATGTTCTGTTGCGTGTTAGAGAACAGAAGAAGTGAGTATACGTATTACATTTTTTTTTTTTTACAAAAAAAAAATGCTTCTAACTACTTGTTTAAAGATCAGTAGTGTTATCGTCAACCTTTTAACCAATCAGTATAGCTGTTATATTTTCCCCTTATCTATAATTGTTAGCTAGAGAGCTTTACCTCTTAACACCTGTAAAGAACCTTGGGATACACCACCCCAAAAGCTAGCTCAAAGGGTGGGAGTACCCAAGGCCTTATAAACTCCACATTAATTGCACATACAACCAATGTGGGACTATATATCTCAACAACACCAAAGAGCTGTTTCTGTTTGTGTCATATCTGGGAACTGATCAGTCAAAATAAAACAGCTACATTTGTACTTGCAAAGTCAACGGCTGATAAAGAAACCTGTTGCCCTTTGCATTATTGAGAGTTTGAAGAAAGAATATTGACTTAATTGGAGAACCTGGGAGTGGGATATAATAGGGATGCTGCTTTCAGGATTTGTGTTCGGTTTCAAATGGAAGTGGTCTTTGTATACTCCTATGCAATGCCAAAGAAAGGGTTGGGAAGTATACAATCATGAGGACTGTATATTGATATTTAAGCTGTGCTGTACTTTATGGAGCCTTTGAGCATGGGGGCTTACATATTTGTTTTATGTTTTTGGTTGGTCGCTGTTATAAAACATTGAAGCTTAAGGGATCTCTAAAATATGTCTGATCTTACTAGCTAAGCTGTAGGCCTGAAAAGCAAAAGTAAAAATATCATCTGATTGTATGGAAGTTGTGGATTTGTCTGAATGTGTCTTTGTCTGTGATTGATAAATTAAGATGTCGTAGTAATTTTTTTGACGCCTATGATGCTGCTTACCTGACTCAATGGTTCCATCATTTTACAAACACAAGTTACATAATTATAACACCAGGCTCTGCAGTGGGTTAGCATCTCTTATTTATTGGGAAAGTGTAACTTAGTTTTATTGTAATTCAAGGACTGGAGAGCTTTGTTTTCTAGGTTTATAGCAATTCACAGTTCCGGTCAATTACCATTTTAAAACATAATGAACCTGAGGATCCTTTTGAGAAATGGTTCTTCCTGTTGATATATACTAGTGGTATGGGATATTTTTTGGTTTGGATAACCTTCAACTTCATCACTGCTATGTGGTTGGTTTTCCCATGCATGATATGTTGCTCCTTTGCTTTTCTATTTATTTTATATCCATATGAAGAGCATAATATCTGCATTTTTGGTCAAGATCAGAGTTTTGTTACTGCTTCCATTTTTAATATGATAGTAGCGCAACGATTGCATGAGGGATTTATGATGGCCCTATACAACTTTTCCGGTTGGATGCATTTTATTTCCGGAAATCAAATAGGATATTTATCTGTCATAACCATACAACATCCGCATTTGGGTTATTACAATATTAAATTCTTTTTGTCCATATATGCTGTCATCACGTTGAATATGTCTGTCTGCATAATTGCCTCAAAATTGGGAGAAATTTTTGTGTAGACCATGTCTCACAAATTGTGTAATCTAAATCAGCCAACAGCTGACAATTCATCACTTTAAATGTAAAATTATGTGTGGCTCAAAGATTTATGTGATAATTAATATGAACTGATGATGTATTAATTGTTTATTGGTTTAAGTCTTCACAACTTGTGAAGACATGGTCTACACAAGTCTCCCTCAAGAACTGGACTTAATGTGGTTCAATTCTGTAGCAGGATTGATGAAAGTTTCTTGTCAAGATGGGAGTGTAGAACCTATACCAGTGATGAGTTTGAAGAAATGCAGCGATCTCTGTTTGAGCATCTTTGCCCGTTGCTCATAATTAAGATGCTTCCCATGAAAACTTTCAATGACCTGAATTCATCAATTATGTATGGACATCTCAGTCAAAATATAATGCATGGTATATATTCATACCTTGTGTATCTCCCTTTCTGATTGTCTTGATTGCTATTTGTTCTACCATCTAATACTTCTAGATGTTGTTCGCATGTCCAATATTTAGTTGATCTGTTACTCTTTTTTTTTTTTTTTCACATGCAGACCTGATTTGTTAAACCTTTGAATTGATTTAATTATGTTTGATTCTGTCAGTACTTATCCTGTGAGATTTACTTGGTATTAAAGACAATTCATCGAATCTTCTGATCTGAAAATTAAAGGCTCATGGAATCATGGTTCTGTTCCTGTTTCTATTTTCTCATGAATTTTGAATTAAGAGCTGAAATTTGCTTTCTGAGCTTATTGAATTGATCTTACTGGAGTTTTATAAGCTTTCCAAACCTTGGATGGAAAAGTTGCAGACTTCGTGATTCTTTTTATAACCAAGTCTTGTAATAATGTTGTCTTCTATTCTTAAAATCTGAATTAGTGACTCAATTTTTATTGGATGTTCTGCAAATTTGTTTAAATATGTTCTCTCTTTCTTCACAAAATTCACAAGTGCATGTGATTGAAGTGCTTGAAACTATAGTAGCAACTGATGTTTCATGGAGAATGTTAAGAGTTAGTATTAAGCTATTGAGAGTATCTGGCCTTGGCCCATATGTACTTTGTACTGTGTTGTACGACACTCTTAACCTAATAGTATATATACCTAGGGAGACTGTTTTACAGATTATCCCGTTTAGTATAATTCTAGCCTCTACTCTTATCTACACTCTCCTCTACACAGAAGAAAATAAAAAAAATTGACAGAAGAAATCTGGATACATTAACATTTCATACTTAGGTTTTCAATTATCCAGATTCATGTCTTTGGATATTATTCCTATCTATAAATCCCAGGTTCTCGAGTATTGTGCATAAACTACTGTATGTCTATCAGAATAGAGGTTCTATCTTTTTTCTTTCAATACATTTTAATTCTCTTGTGAAGTCATTACAAAATGTATATTTTTATTGTGAGGAAGATACAGACAGCAGAGACACTGGGATTGGTTATGAGTGTATTGCTGCTCTCCTTCTAAACAGGTTGGTCCTTGTGCAACGAACATAGCGTTTATTTCCTTCCACTAAATGGTACAGGAGCTTGATGCATATTTCATGCTATTCATTTGCTTCAGGGCATTTTGTGAGTTTGAATTTGAAGATGTTCAGAAGCTTTCGGCTGAGCTGTGCGGACGCATTCATCCACAAGTAATTATTTTTTATTTTTTAAAAAATTGAATTCAAATTCGTGGAAGACATCGATAGTTTTATTTTTAAAGTGATAGCACGACCTTGGTTTTATTTAGATTTCACTTTGATATATTTTTTGGCATTGCTTTGTATATATAGCATGATTGAAAATTTAAGAAGCAATTCCTCAATTCTCAGGTTTACGTTTTTCATTTTGATGTAGTTCTTAGTTCGGTCAGTTTGGATAATTGGTCTGTGATTCCTATTTCAGTATAAAATGTATGAATCCTTAGATTACACTTGTTTCTCTTTATGACCGATATCCTATCGGAATCACATCATCTTCTGGCACCAAAGTAAACCTTATTATTACCTTATTGGCAGTTTTTAGGTATTACTTTAACATTTCATGGCGTTTGATTCTATAGGTTTTATTCCCATTTCTTTGCTCCAAGTTAGAGCACGCTGTTGATTCTGAAAACATACTGAAGATACGGGCCTGTTTATTTTCAATCTGTACATCCCTTGTGGTAATTATTTTCTTCCATCAATATTTAGATTGTCACGTTCTGCTTTTTAGAATTCTGTTTTCAGTTTCAGGCTGTATCTATCGATTCTACTTCAATTTAGCTTGTAGTAAAGTGGCCCTTTTGGATTTATAGGTCAGAGGTTGGGAGTCACTGTCTCATCCTTCGATGCATGCAATTAGAAGGTTGATTGAAACAGTGCTGTTATGGCCTTGTCTGAATGCTGATTCAGGTCTGAAACTATTTTTGTTTCTAATTTTCTTTCAATTTTGTATGAAATAAAACTAATTTTGATAGGCATAACTTTTTCTCCCAGTTTCTAAAGCACAACATGGATGCATTGATTGTCTAGCACTTATGGTATGTGCTGAACTACAAGCTCAGGAATCAATCACCGACACCATGCCAGACAGAATAAGGGTTGCTGGGAAGGAAGGTATTATTGATGTGTATGTTATCCTGAATATAAGCATGGAAATGCTAATAGGTAGTTGAATGTAACTTCTTCTCAAACCTGTTAAGAGTCTGCTGCTGCAGGGAATTCTGTTGTCACCTATGTGATCAATCGGTTCCTCAATGACAAGAAGGAACAATCTGAGTTGGGTGATGAAAACTCTGAATTTGTGGCTTCAGTTCCTCTCTCTTTTCGTCTGTGCATGGGTAATGTTCTCATCAGCACTTCCCAGAAGATTTCAGAATCTTGCAAGAAGCATTTTGCAGCACAAGTTCTTCCTTCTCTCCTTCATTCTCTTGAGGTACCATTGCATATTTAGTTTTTGATTGCTTGATTGCACGAGTTTGATAAGAGTTGTAGTTCTCGAAATTTACCATCAGTCTTGCTGGGTTATGGACTAAAATTTTGTCAACAGTTTGAAATGAAGTCAGAGATTAGAGCAGCATGCACCCAGGTCCTATTTTCAGCTGTCTATCATCTAAGATCTGCAGTTCTTCCCTTTGCATATGACCTTCTCAAAATCTCACTAATAGCCCTGAGAAAGGAGTCAGAGAAGGTAATTTACCTTCACTCTTCTACGTTAATAACACCATAGTTGTAATTTTATCAGGATAAAGTTTTTTACGCAAGTCTCTTAAATTTTTTTATCTACTTGATAAATCTAACATTGGGTTCGATGTATCAAATATATTGGTGGTGGATGTGTGGGAAACTTGTGGCGTGAAACTAATTACGGGGTCATTTAATAAGATTGTCACTGACCTTTTGGTGCAGTAACATTTATCTTTGCATATATTACATGTTTTGTTATCTTCCTTCTGTTTTTAATCCTTATAGTTAAATCCCCGTCCCCTGAAATGGCTTGCTGTGTTCTTTGTAGTTGTTTTTGTGAATGTTAGTGAACCATTTATAGTAGGCTTAACAGCCAAATTGTGTCACCATTATATAGGGTAGCCTATTCTCTTACACTCATTTTTTGCCATTAATTCAATTGTATACTATGGCTCACATAACTACAGAAATAGAGCCGTTTGATATATAAGTAGAATGGTTAAAATTAAAAAAGTAACTTACATCGATATAAAATGATCCTATATATATATATAGGGGTTGCTTTTTCTGCAGCGGTTGCAGATAGTTGCTGTCTGCAGCGGAGACAACGAAGTGGGCCCCACTGCTTTTTTATTTTTATTTTTAAAAAAAGCCAGGACTCGTATGGGTATGCTAACCTGTTGTATGTGCAGCGGCTGCAGAAATGATTTTGCCATATATATATATATAGGGATAGGATCAACTTACACCGGTGTAAGAGTAATAAATGTTACACCATATCTTAACCGTTGATTTTCGTGCATCAAACGGTTGAGATTTATTGGGAATTAAAATTTAATTAATGAGTGAGACCTAATAAATTTTAACCGTTAGATGCAGAAAATCAATGATTAAGATTTGGTGTAAGACTTATTATTTTTACACCAGTGTAAGATGATCTTGTCCCATATATATATATAAGGGTAAGATCTTTTTATACCAGTGTAAGATTAACAAGTCTTACACTGCATCTCAACCGTTAATGGACGGAAATCATCTGTTGTCATTTGTAGTGTAATTAATGATTAATTAATATTAATTAATTCGCATGACTTCCTAAATTATAACCGTTGGATGTACGAAAATCAACGGTTGAGATGCGGTGTAAGACTTATTAATCTTACACCGATGTAAAATGATCTTGATCCATATATATATATATTTATATATTTATATATATAGTAACTTCATGGAAAATATAGAGAAAAAAAGTAGATAACCAATAGAAATTTTTCTTGGAGAAAAAATATTCTAGTAGCTAAAAATGAAAATACGGTTTGACAATTGATTTTCAAATAGCTTGAGGGTCCTATTTAACGAGGTGCCGGTATTTTTCTGTAAAGAAGAGCACAAATGTGGAAGCCCATATGTTTTTTTTTTTTTAGTGTAGCCACATTATTTCTCTTAATGTATGCGGAAAAAGTCATACGATAAAGTTGGTGTATTATTAATGTTCAACAGGAAAGGATGGCAGGTGCGAAGCTTATAGCATCTCTTATGGCCAGCGAAGATGTGATTTTGGAGAACATATCTGGTGGACTATTAGAAGCAAGGTCTGTACTCTCTACCGTAAGTTCATCAGATCCTTCAGTCGAGTTACAACAGATTTGCCGCAAGTTGCTAGCATGCATATCTTCTGCGTGAGTTGCGACAAACTTATTACAAAAGTTCACACTTAGTTGCGGTATCACTCTTCTCTCCTTTTATTTATTTATTTGTTGAGTGTGCATATTTCACTTTTGTATGTGCAGATAAAATATTTTCTAAATAGGTTTCATTGCCTTCTTAAATAGTCATGGGTAGTAGATGATATAACGATGATAATGTTGTATACAATATAGAATAGCTGTTAATACTAGGTTAATGTAAAATTCAGGGATTTACACGCATCCATTTTATTTTATTTTTATTTTTGGTTCAGACATGCATAGCTATTTTGATGCATCAAATTCTTGGTGATTTTAATATTAGGGCTTAATATTTTTATATTGTAGCAAATAAATTTATCTCTTACACATAAAAGTATATAGGATTCATATGAGTCCATGTGAGTAGAAGAGAGAAAAAGAAGAAATACGGGCCCCACATATTTTTATGTGTATGTAAAAAATAAATTTATTTCTTACAACATAAAAAATATTAAACCCTTAATATTATGCCTATAAATTGCCAATATGAGTAGAAAATATTTTCAACTTTGTAATCCTACAGATTAGCCGATTTAGAGTGAGAATACATACCCTTTTTTTTCCCTCGTCACATATTTCTAAATGAAAAACTCAAGATTAATTCACATCATGCTCCTACCCAACTCTCTCTTGATGACTGATATACTTTCGGCATCGTAATCATATGCGTAGGAAAAAAGAAAAAAAAAAGACTATCGGTTTATCATCTCTATAATACTTTCAATTATTCACAAGAAATGAGACATCTCTTTGCTAATATGCATAATGAGAGAAATGATTCTAAAATCAAATTAATAAACTTTTTTGTTTGTCAATTTCGTAGTTTAAAAGGTGACTTGAAACTGGTGGATCGCTGCAAATTTGCAATGTTTTCTTTATTGATCGAATTAGCTAAAATTACTCACTTGTTTTGTTAGACTCTGAATGGTTTTAATTATATTAGTTCTCTCTCTCAGCCTTTTGAAAATGAAATATTTATGATGAGATGAAAGGCTATCCCGGAATTAGTAAACTTCAACTAGTTTTGCCATGATTCTTTCCATTTGAATCTCCACGAGCTTGACATTTTCTATCCAAACTTGTGTTAATTTTTCTTGAACAAATATATTTTAAAGATCAAAACATGATGGAATGCCATTTTCGGTCAGAAACTGGACGAATCGATTTTTACAGAAACTTATCCTTCCTATTCTCTCTAACAAAAAGGGATAATTTAATTTAATGTGAGCAAATTATATAGTGCCACTTTTTAAAAATAAATAAGTTTTTATTAGCAATCTAAAATCATAGTCACTAAAATCATATATTACATATAATAAATTTACATTGACAAATTTAAGTTGAACAGGGATTAAGTAAACGTAGATGGCCATTTGTTCCAGAATTTTTTGAGCTTACTAGCAATGGTATAGAATAGGGGTATGTTATATTTATTATTATTTTTTCTTATTATTTTTCCTTACTAATTTTATTATTGTTGGATTAAAATCAAATCAATGGTTACAAAATAACATCAAGTGAGAACCATTGATTTGATTTTGATCCAGTAATAACAAAATTGATAATAAGAGGTAGTAAGAAAAAATGGTAATAAGTATAATTTTTCCCGTATAAAATAACCTTTTATTATTTTGAATGACATGACAGGTTGTAATGCCGAAGTAATAACTAATTGGCTAAACAAAAAGAAAGAACGAAAAAAAATTGCGAGAAAACACTTTACTTTTTTTTTTAAAATTTTATTTAACCAAAAATAACTAAATAATAATAGGATTCTCTAAGCCTTAAATAGGCAAAATAAAATAATAAAAAAATAAATAATTATAATTATGCGCAATCAAAGAAGATATAATGCACAATCAATGTACATTCAAGCATAATTTAAAAATAATAAAAATGAAAATAATTAATAATTATTGAAAAATTCTAAATTATAGAATAAATTATAAAAAAACCCAATTCAAATCAGTCATCCAATATAGATGAGGTTATTACTGGAAGCTATTTATTAACAACAAACAACTTAGTAAAGTTCTAAAAGCCTATCCATTAATAATCAGACTGAGATTTTGAGGCATGAGATTCTTATAAAATATAAAATACTATTATATGTAAGCATATATGTTCCATTTTTTTTTTAAAAAAAGTTACGAATATATTTATAGTAGGCTAACCCCAAATAATTGGATATAATTTTATTTAAACAAATCTACAATGAGTACAATCATTTTAAAATAAAATAGTCCTATATTTTGTAAAAAAATAAAAATAAACTTTTATTTAAAAGATTCAATATATATTTTTTTGGTAATTAAAGATTCAATATATTAATCATTATCTAATCACGCATTTTTTTTATATAATATATATTTACAATGCTCATTGACTAGTTTCAACGTATGTTTTTGAGACACGAGTATCCATTCCCATAATCACCGCTAATAAATAAATAGGATTGTCTTCCCTTTTCCATAAGACGTGGACATATATTTGATTTGACCATGAATCATGATATATCAGATTCATAACCTAATGTTATTCGTGGCTCTAAATAACCATACTTGGCTCTGACTCTCAGAGAGAAAAAAGAAAAAGAAAAAATGCTGCAACTTTTGTTTGCTGTGGCCTTCTCTGCAGTGCCTCTGACCTTGTACATTCCGCCCATACGCAGCTTCAACCTTTTCGTCCACACCATCCAGAATTTTCTTCAAGACTACACCCTCTTATCCCTTCGTGTCTATCCTCGCATCAGACTCGCTCTTTCTCGCATCTTCAACTGGTAGATCCTCTCTTTTTTTATCTGTAGATTTTTCTCTGTTATGTCATTCCTTCTCTCTTTTTTTTGAGATTTTTGAGTTGGGGGTGTATTGTATGTACACGGATGTCTAGTAATATGTTATTGCCATGACATGATCGATTGATCAATAATCCTTACTTGTTTAATCTCGCTTTTTGTTTTGGATTATGTTGTTGTCTGGAATCTTTTATTCTTTTTCATTGAGAACCTTTCTTTAATTTTCGGTAGTTGTAGTATTACAGAATAATTTTGATGTTGTATTGTTGCAATATTTTTGCTTGATCGGATACTACTGAGATCCAATAAAATTCTCAATGGTCGTAGCTTTTTACATGGAAGCAAAAAAATGCAGACTTTATGAAAATTGATATATGGATTAAGAATATAGCTCGCGCCCAATTCTTATTTGAGGTTTTGAAGAAGACCCTTCTAATTTTTTACGTTGCCAAACTGGGAGAAAATGTCTCTCTCTTTTCTCTTGGAGATTCCCTTTGACTATTATTATTATTTTTATTTTATTATTATTATTATGGTTTTGATTGGTAGTTGGGGGTTGGCGTTTTCCAACTGACTTTTCCGCTGTTGGAAGGTGGCATTGGGGTGGATGAGGAATAGTGTTGTATACTTTCCAACATGATCCAGAATCATGGATGACTGTTTGTTGGGACATAGTACTATTTCAACAAATTGGGAATAAACCGTAGAATTGCATAACAAATGCAAATATGTTATGTTATTATTATCCTTATTACGCTTGCTAACTGTTCTGGTGGAAGCAAATTGCCATAAATTCAAATTTTGGTGGACAGGGAAGATGTGGCATTTAATTTCACCCCTAAAATTATGGTATTCCTGTTTTTATTTGAAGAAAACAAGTGTTGTCTTGCTTATTGTTGCTTTCTTTTTCATCGAAGCAATGGGTTGTAAAATAAATAGCTATTGGAGTCCAAACAGCATAAGCAATGGGAGTGGGACCGTGTATGTTCCCCACAGATATTTAATAATTTAACATTAGATACTACAACTTTACTCGATAATTTGAAATTCTTGCAAAATTAAAAGAATATTTCAAATAATATATCAAGTTGAATTATATATTTTATAATAAGTAACTTATATAAATGATTATTACATGAACAAGGTATCCCTCTTCATGGCATGAAAAATGGAAAAGTCAACGGTGTACTTGTCATGAAGCTATTTGTAATAACAATACGTTTAGTCAAACCTGGAAGCCTCCGCAACATAATGGCGAACATCATGTGGGCGCCTAGGTTTTTCCAGAGAGCCTTGTGCGATCGTTCAAGAAGCAATAACGTGGCCTTATGCACAATCTTCCAAATCACAAGCATCATTTGTATACCATAATTGTTTATTACTTTTTTAAAATAAAATATCTCAAAATAGAAGTATATATTCACTTTTCTTCTTCTTTTGAATGTCTAAGCAAAAAGAAAATTGTCTCATCTTAAAGGAATGAACCCGAAGACCTAGTCACCAATTGAGCCTACTATCATTTGCGTTCCAAGAATATGGTTAGAGATTATATAAAATTATTAATGTAGTCTTATATAATAGTTTAAACTTTTGAATTAAATTAATGCTTTATATGGTATCTAAAGCCTAACGAGAAGAATTTTAATCCGTTTTTTTTTTTCTCCGGTGAACCCATTTTTATTGCCTTTTCAAAATAAAATAAAATGGATGCTGTCTCTTTGTCAGCTTTCGGTCGTCTTTTGTTCTTGGGTCTTCTCTGCATTGTTGTCGGCCTTTTCTCCTTGAGAACCGCAGTCAAAAACCTATTGACCGTCGTTCCTTCATAGCTGACCACTGTCGTTCAGTGGTTTTTCTCTACAAATCACCCACTGTTGTGCTCGTCTCGGCAGAGCGATTCTCTTTATTCGGGTCACGTCACCATTCGATCAGCCACGCACTCTCATGCGCGTGTGGTAGTTACGCCCCTCCCTTTGGTTGGTCGACGCGTGACAGCACGTGGAGGCCCTTTTTCGGCAGCGACCAGTTGGATTTTTCCCCACTCCGAGACGGTCCTATGTTGCTTTGATGTTTCGACTTCCTTTAAGTTTAGTGAGCTCTCTTATGAGGAGACGTATTAGAGACACAAATTTATTTCAATGTTCCTTTCGTCTCTTATTACTTTACAAATACAAAGACACTTTATCAGGCTTTTTGACCCTTATAACTCTTTATTAATAATTAATTACCAAATTGACCTTCATTATAAACTATTTCAAAAATTTAACCCCGTCAAAAAACATAACACCAATCTGCCCCTGTTTGACCGTTGACCACCAAGCCTACCCGGGTATTTTTTGAAAATTTTTGCCTACCCGGATAGGGAGGGGTGTACCCGGGTATTGTTCTTGGCACCTGAGAAATTGTTTGAATTATTTATCCGGATAAAAAGGGGTGTACCCGGGTAAATCTCCATATCTTCGTCTTCATCTACGAGTTGGGTGTTGTTATTCACAGTGGCATCCTTTCAGGGCTAAGGGTCTTGTACCCTGTCAAGATGACATTTTGGTTTGACGTATTCAAAGTAAGTTTTGCCTTAAAGTGTTGTTATTCATAATTCTTAACTTGTTGCATTATTTATCACTGATGTTTTGTATTGACAAAGATCTCTTTTATCATTTCAGAATATAGACAAAATAAGGCATGTTAAGTGCCCAGTCTTAGTCATACATGTACGTATATCTTTCTATCTATGTTTCTTATTAGTTTCTACATTTATACCTCTTTCAGTGTTCAAGCTTGCTTAATAGTTTCTTTCTTGAGGCTTCTATCCTGAAGAGATTGTTATTTTTTTCTTTTTGGTTATATGAAGAGATTGTTTTATAATTCACTATTTTTCTCTGTCAGTGAGTTATTCATATGGAGGGTTGGTTGATCCCCTGGAAAAGTAGAAAATAATAAAACAATCAGGACTGTGTGGGTTATTTAGATTGATTTGTAATCACACTCATTATCAAAAGAAATCACACGTCACATAATGCATGCTAATTTACTTTTACTTACTAGATTGATGTCATCTGAATGAAGAACTCAGTGTTTAGGAACCTGTTGGTGTTTGCATTCAAGAAGTACTATTCTTTTTCATTCAATCAGCAAACTAGAAGAAAGTATTATGTACCCAGTATACCTTTTAACCAGTTTACAGAAAGTCTTTGGGTATTGTTACAAGGATGTAAAACTTTTTAGTCTATTATTTCTTCTTTTAAAAGAATAGACTAGCTTAAATACCTCTACAAAGTGCAAACAAATTTTACTTTATGGAGAAAAAACTGAAATGACAAACACTGGAGACAGCAGCTGAGATCATTTAAATTAAGTCCTGTTTTCAGAGCATTACTTAAATTTTTCTGGCTGACCTAAAGTTGTAAAGCAATATGTGGTTCAAATAAAAATGTTAAAACATAGAAAATGGCACGACACCCAACTCGTAGATGAAGATGAAGATGTGGAGATTTACCCGGGTACACTCTTCCCTACCCGGGTAAATAATTCAAGCAATTTACCAGGTGCCAAAAACAATACCCGGGTACACCACTCCTTACCCGGGTAGGCAAAAAATTTCAAAAAATACCCGGGTAGGGAGGAGTGTACCCGGGTAGGCTTGGTGGTCAACGGTCAAACAGGGACAGATTAGTGTTATATTTTTTGAGGAGGTTAAATTTTTGAAATAGTTTGTAATGAAGATCAATTTGATAATTAATTATTAATAAAGTGTTATAAGGGTCAAAAAGTCCACTTTATCATGTTAACCTAATAATGATTTCAGTAAACAACAGGACAAGTACAACTAACGATTGCAGGCAAACCAAGGCCTACAAATTACATCGGGTGCCCAAACACGCATGAATCGTGAGGAACTTTTGTGAATGAATCCGCTAGTACTTTTTCTTCTCTCTTAGAAAGAGTTTAACTTGAATTACGTGGGAGTGATAATTTAGGGAATAAATTCTCTGATGTCTTATCTTAACATGTTCAAATAATGTGAAATATATTTATTTATGGATGAATGGTCAACTATTAAAGTGATAATTCTCACTTTCTCTTTTTACCAACTTCTGTATTAAAATTGTGATAGTTGATATGTGAATAAATGACTGACATATATGATAACGTTAAAACACGACATCAGATGATTCATTTTCAAAAATTTAGAAAAAAATTTATTTAAAATATTTTTTAAAGTAGGTAAATTATATTTATTCATACAAATTAGAGTTGAAGTTATGATAATTTTTTTTTAAACACAAGTTATGATAAATTTGAAAATAAATTAAAAAAATAGTCTACCAAAAAAAATATTATTTATTTAAATTAGAGACAAAGTCTATCCAAACAAGAAAGTAGAATTTATTCCCACCTTCACGTTGTAGATGTCATCAAATAAGTATAACACTATATGCATTAAATAGGTTTGGTTCATATGGCAAAAGACACCGGAATCGAAGTATTTACCCTCGCATTAAGCTAGTTCTTTTTTCTTTTTTAATTCTTTTCAAAGTCAAACTTGGTGCCAAATAACACATTAAGGGATAAATGATTAGTATAACCCTTCCAAGAACGTTGCAAATTGTTGTGCTTTGAAAAAAGAAATGCTGAAGTAATGTCCAACATAACATTTAAATGATTAGTATAATGTGTAGGTGCGGTCGCTTTTGTAAGACTGATGATCATATATTTTCCAGTGCCTATTTCATATGTCTTATTTTCAGTTATTTTTTTCAAAAGTTTAGTCATATATAACTTTACAAAAACTCTTATCATAAAAAAGTTTTTTTTTTGTAAGTCACTAGGATTGGTCCAGTTGTAAGGAATTTGGGTAGGTTGTATTAGGTTATGTTTTCAATTTTCACTTTATTAAAAAAATACTTTTTTTATAATAAATAAAAAAGGAAAAACCTAAATATTCCTAAGAGGAGTTTTTTTTTCAAAGATGTATGTCAATTTTTTGAAATCTTCATTTTATTTTTTAGTTTTATCCTTATTCTATTTACCCTTTACCTTAATGATAAATCATTCTATGTATTCTCCTCAAAATTCGAAGAACATAATCAAAATTTTATATAATCACCAAATTACTTTTAATCTTATTTTTTAAGCTTTTTTTATTTTTATTTTTTAAGTTAAGCTTAAAAATGATTTTTGACTTAAAAAAAAAAATATGCCAAACATATTCTTAAATAATACGCTTTACACAGATGTATCAAGTTCGATCTACTCACCCTCCTTAAATTATTGCCAGCTTGTGTTCGACATAAGCATAACCATGTCAGTGTTGTCTTCTAAGCTTATCAGCACTATCTCTGTAATGGTCATGACTACTTAACCGTTATGGCATCACATTTTATCATTTGGTATGATGTGGGAATTTTCGAGCATCAGTGGCAAGAAGGTAATTCATGATGACATGCAGATAGAGAGAGCAAGCATGGGATAAAGGTGAACCAAGTCTCGAGAATCAGGTTGTGTATGGCAGGACAACATGTGAAATATAGGTCGTGAATTAGAAAATGTTGAGGTCGGTCTTATTTAAAATCCTTCTCCTCATGTGTAGTAATCGAATCCAAGGATGAGTGTCAGAGTTCATTAAACACATTCACTTCATGACTTGCAAAAAAGGTCTTGCAAATATTCTAGTAACCACCTCAACAACATTCAATTCAATACCCCCTTTTCTCTCTCCATCTCTAATATTAAAGAGTTATGACCTTTAAAACTTCAAAGAAAAAAAAAAAAAACAGTTTATGATTTTAAGGTTATTGTGGTGTCCAATAGGAATAAATTTTTGGTACTACTGCTGTAGCAAAAATTCAGTGCATCCCACCAATGAAAATATTACATGTCAGTTAAAATTTCTTTTTTTCTGTCAAATTTTTTTCTCTCATCTAATGTGTAATGTTCTCATTGATGGAATACACTGAATCTAAGTACAGCAGTAGTACCAAAGATTTATTCGTCCAATAGGAGGTTTTGTTGGCAGGTACCAAACCCTTGTACGGAATAGAATTGTCATTGTAGTATAGGCCTGTGTAAACTTGATCCCACCAACCATTCAAATTCAAAATCATGGGGTAACTAAGCTTCGGAGATTTGCATAAATCATTTATCCTAAAAATAAGCAAACTTTTACTTGTATTTTAGTTTCTTTGTCTTAATTAAAGTATAAACAATATTCAATGAATAATATCCGAGCTCCACATAACGTATGACCCGTGAGAACCAAACCAAAAAAAGAATATGTAAGATGAAATGAACAATAAATGAAAGACAACGTTTAAGGGCTCTTATCAAGTATTGCATTGAAGAATATTACATGGATTATCAAGTATCTGGCACTGACTATCAAATATCATCAAACGGGGATTGCAGTGAAGTATCTTGCACAGTGGAACTGATGATGAGTTCTGTGAGGTAGTAGCATTGCAGGCAATGTAAGACCTATGATTTCAACATTCCCCTTGTTATTTAAGGGAATTATTGTATTATGTTGCTACAAGGAAAAATTATCTGCCATAGTATATATTTATAATATTAAAGTTTTTTTTTCTCTTTCCTCAAACATTATCAGCTGATGTAATGGAGAGAAAAAAAATAATTTTACCATTATAGTTATGTATTACTCATAGTCCATAGTTATAATGAGTTATTGCAAATAATTTTACCATTATTTAAGGGTGTAGTTTCGTTTATCTCTTCATTTTCTAAAATAACTAAATGTTGTCTTGTTTGTGAAGTAAACAAACATATAATTATCTACCATGTTTTAAAACCATGCATGCACATGATGCTGTTAATAACATTAACAACCACCACAAAAGCCCCAGAATTTTTAGTAAGAAAAAAGAAAAACAGGATTTGAAACAATCACAGTATAGACTCAGTAACGGTCACATGGGATTTGATACTTCTGCAAACGTGATAGCATTTATAACGAACTATACTCATGCTCCTACATATCCCGCGCCTTATATTATACATTACATGCAGTTCCAAGTATCACCAAAACACTGAAACCCTATCACTTTCACTTGTTCAACTATCAACCATGGATACTCGTAGAAAGTCTCCCTTGAAGCCATGGAAGAAAGGGCCAACCAGAGGGAAAGGTGGCCCCCAGAATGCTACGTGTGAGTATCGAGGCGTTCGGCAGAGAACATGGGGAAAATGGGTTGCTGAGATAAGAGAGCCAAAGAAGAGAACCAGACTTTGGCTTGGTTCTTTTGCCACAGCTGAAGAAGCTGCCATGGCTTATGATGAGGCTGCAAGGAGACTCTATGGACCAGATGCATACCTTAATCTTCCCCACCTCCAACCCAACACAAATTCACCTATCAAATCTGGAAAGTTCAAATGGTTGCCTTCAAAGAACTTCATTTCAATGTTTCCTTCTTGTGGATTACTCAATGTAAATGCTCAACCTAGTGTTCATTTAATCCATCAGAGGCTACAAGAGCTTAAGCAGAACGCAGTAGCAAGTCAATCCCCTTCTAGTTCATACAGTAGTCCAAAGGCAGAAATTCAGAATGTGGATAGCAAAAATCATGCAAAAGATGCTCAAACATCACAGGAGATGCTTGGAGATCTTCAAGAGAAACCCCAGATAGACCTCCATGAGTTTCTTCAACAGCTGGGAATTCTAAAAGAAGAAAGACAGACAGAAGGAACTGATAGTGCAGGAAGTTCGACAGCGCCTGAAGCTGTGTGGAGAGATAACAATGATCAACTGGGAGTGTTTTCTGACACGAGTGTTAACTGGGAGGCATTGATGGAGATGCATGGAATTGCAGGTATTCAAGAATCAGAAGCCACCCAACTTGAAGCATATGATCCAAATGATGAGCTTACTTTCTCAACCTCCATTTGGAACTTTCCAGATACATAGCTGGTTTTTCAAGAAAAGAAAACTACCTTAGCTTAGCTTATATGGAGTTGAGCTCTATTTAGATATGGGTATTTAGTATATCAGCCTAAGCTATAGATTCAGATGGTTTTGGTTCTACTACTAATCTATTCCTGTTGTCTTATCACTGCTGAATTTCAATCTGTTTTGCACAATGTAAGAGTAGGAAAGTAGCTATAATAGAAGAGTACTAGAGCGAGAAAGGAGCATATCTCAGTAGTCGTGGTGACAGAGAATGGAGACAAGAATATCAGTCTGCAAGTAGTAAAATAATTTGACTTATTACTAGCACTTGGGTGATTGTTAACTTCTAACTTTCTTCAGTTACTTCCACCTTTTGCTTTTTGTTCAGGCAAAGAACCAAACTCTGGTATATCATATTGAGGAATCTGACACGGCTACTAGCAGATCACGTCCAACATTACATTAGTTGGGTTAATAATAGAAACCTATTTGTTAACTAACAGGAGACAACATAAAAAAACAAGCAGTATAATGGTACCAGTGATTAAAAAATATATAGTACGCTAGAATCCTGCTAAAAAGTTTTTAGTCTTTTATCTCCTAAGGATTGCTACTAGTATAAAAAAAACTACTTTTTCCCCCATAGAACAAGATTATGTCTCATTCACGCATAATTAAACAAATTTTAAGATTTTGACAGTATAAGTTTAGCAAAAGTATTTTAAACTAAACATATGACCTGGGTATAGGCAACATATTAAATATCAAAAAGATACATAACAAGGATAGCACAGGAAGTCAGGAAGTAAAAGTAAAAATTCTACTTCCAGATGATTCAAAAATAATAGTGGTATTACTAGATATGAAGAATTTTTTTTCTTCTAAATAAAATGGTTTCACATAAACCAACAAATTCCTTCAATTCCAAATAGTACATGAAAGATTGAGAAACCTTCACAGATCAGCTAGCCATATCACAAAAATCAACAAATTGATCATCCGGGGAGCAACAATAGCAATATTAACCTTGGGAATTTGGCCTACTCATTCTGGTACTCAGATGCACTCAGATACTCTGCATGCTCTTCAAAATACTCAATCAATCGCTTTAGAAACCCATCACTACTGACTGTCTCAGTGTCACAGACAAGACAGCATTGCCTTCTTGCCCTTGTCACAGCCACATTCATTCTCCGGCGATCACTCAGAAAGCCCACCTGAAACATATATTGCAAGTCTCTTCTATTAATCTTCATGGCATGCTAACAAAACCTATTACATAAAACCTGTATGAAGCAATTAAAAAGTAGAAGACTTTTTAGAAATACCTCTTTTTTTGAGTTTGATCGAACCATTGATATAATAATGGCCTCCTTCTCCCTTCCCTGAAAGCCATCAACTGTTGAGATTTCCACATCCTTCATCCGGTTATCCTTGTTTTTCAACATCTTGAGTAAAACAACCTGCAATACTAGTTACCATAAGTTAGGAAAAACATCTACCATATTCTCATCCTTAATAAAATTACTAGAATATGAAGAGCTCATGCTGCTGAACATTCATAGTAAAGGTTCACACAGAACAATTTTGTACCTGGGCTGCATATGGGGTAATAATTCCAATATCAGAAGGAAGCACCCCACTTTGCACTAGTCTCTTTGCATGAGCCATAGCAACCTCAGCTTCCCCTTCATTAAGAGTGCTCTCTTCTTCATCTTTCTTTTCTTCCATATCACATCTGAATCTCATCAATATGAGCAGTTTGATTACATTTTGTTTGAATACTCCCATGGATATCAAAGAACCTAATTTGCTTTATATGAAATATTATAACTTGTTTCTCTCTTCAGCTTCCTCATACCAGTTTGATCATACCTTAAAATTCTTGAATAGATAGAAAAAACCAGTGCACCAATTACTGAATATAGACTATTCAAAATGCCAAATCATTATATACAAAATGATGGTATATCAATTTCGATTAGGAAGAGAATGTCATGTCTTTTTCCACACGTCCAAACTAATCAAGCAGTTCTGAGAATATAGATTTTTCAACAAATGACATGATCCAACATACCCAGCTATGTCTATAAGAAGAAGGGTTGGTTCAGTTGAAGACGTCCTCTTCACATCCTCAATATCATATAGCATGTGTCCAGCAACACTTGGATGAGCCTTGATCTGTTATCACATAATGCCATGCATGACGTTCTAACAAAATGTTTGTCCAATTGTCCCCAATATAACCTGACTTTTCAGTTCAGGATTAATAATTTATGCTTTGTAAGGGATACAACAAGATTAGAAAATTAGGAGCACCTTATTGTTGTAAAGCTCTTTAGAAGACCAATCCATGATAAGTTCATGCATACGGTACTGGACAGTAAGCATACATGTGACTTCATCTCCATACATTTCTGCAAGTCGTTCAAATAGGGTTCTTCCTAAGCCTTTCTTCTCAGCTTCAACACTTTGAATGGTTGGAGGAAGTTGAAGATGGTCCCCTGCAAGTATACATCTCGAACCCTAAAACAATGAACTCTTCATTTAATTTATTATAATCAAAATGACATCAGGCATGCAATGATTAGAAAGCTACATATTTTAGAATCAAGCCCAGGTTTAGTATCAAGCTTTTAGTTTTGCCAGTCCAAAGCAATTTCTCTTTTGTAAAAGACAGCACGTTTGAATATTCAACTTCCCTTATAAAACTTCCAATTCAGGTCAGTTTGATCTTTGATTCTGATCTTTTGTATATCCTGTTGCATCTAGTCCAGGATGCTTTAGACATTATTAGAGGAATGGAGATACTGTTGGAAAACACTTTCTCTTTAGTATTATTATTATTAAAGTAACATTCAGTTTAGGATCAGTAGTAGTACATAATGCAACTCATGACATAAAATTTAAACATTTTTTGCTCTCAAATTCTGGTGTCTGAGATTTTATTGTCCCTAAATAAACCAACCTTGTCTTATTTTCAATATATCACTTCTCTATTTTCCGTCCCTCCCCCACCTACCACACACTGGCTATAATATGAAGTGTTCACATCAATAAAACATAACCTGACATGTGCATGTAATCAGGAGAAGATAAAAAGAAGTCTGAAGGTAATGGTTAGAATTAAATGTTTACAGCATACGTACAATGAGTTATATTTAAAAACATTTATAATGAGTGGTATAAGTTATTACTCGTTATATATCTGCTGATTATCCCACTTGTAATTAATACTCTATATACTGTTGTGGATAACATCAAATGTAGTGCATATGCCTTTAAAAATTACCTTCAGCAGAGGTATCCAGCATGCTATCTCAAGTGCTTGAGCAGCTTCATCAATAATCACCAAATCAAATGAAGTGTTTTCTAGTTTCTTAGAGAAAGACCCAATCAAAGTAGTTAGTACTACATCTGCACTTTTAATTACGTCTGTTACAGCAAGCTGCTGCCTTTTACGCTCCTCTTTGGATAGAGTCCGAAGTTCCTTCTGTATGTCCCTTCTTGTATTTCTGTCTTTGGTTTTCAACAGCTTTCCATTCAATGCCTGAAAAAAACACATCATATCCTGTGAAAAGTAATATTGCATAATTATATCTAATTATGCTAACATGAAGTTAATGCTGATTGCTGACATCAATGATAACATCTGAAGTAACAGTCATAGGAACAACAGCAAGATGACACTAACAATCTTGGCAGAATCATACTTAAAAAATTAAGATTTAGTTCTGTAACTTCTGTTCTAAAACCTCACCTTCATTTCTTTCCGAATGTCATTTGCAAGACCACTATTATCTCCTCGTAGTACCTAACATCAGAGAAATTCAATATGGAAGGGTGAAAAAAGAAGAATGATCCATGGCATATAAAACATTTTATTTAAAGCTCAAATGCCGGAGGAATACTAAGTAATTTAATCCATCATCAATTATTAAAACTAGAAAGCACCCAAAATAAGATGGATTGACAGATACATAGAGAAAGAAAGAGAGAGATAACAGAATATCTGACAGTTTAGCAGGAATCTTGCTTAAAGTAATTTTTTTGCATTGTTAAGTTGCTTGGAAGTTGTGAACTTGGCTCTTCAACATTTTAGGGGAGCAAGGAATCTTCTAGAATCTTTGAGTCCAATTTTGTCTTGTCATTTTAAAGGTTTTTGTCACAAGGAATGTAATGTTGTTTGGCAATATGCTTTGGTTGATGAGGTTTTGGTATGTGTACGGAGCACAACACCAAATTTTCTCCTTTCTCATCTTGTGTAGGACAGAATAGTTTTCTTGGCTTTTATGTGGGTGTCAGCCCATGGTTTTTTAAGGGGGGGGTTTATCGTGAATCTCCAGAGAGGTTGCAGAGCTCTTTTGAGATGATGGCTTTGCTTTTTTATCTTCTGTTTTTTATTTTGTAGCCCTAGAAAAATGTCTTATCCTCCTTCTTTGTACTTCTCTTCTTTCTCATGATTAAATCTTCTATGGAAAAAAAAAATTATAGGTTAACAGAGAATATGTACATAACACTGACATACATTTGGACATTTTACTGATGCTATTGCGGATTTTGGTGGTTTTTTTTGTTTTTTGTTTTGGGGTTGGGGGGGGGGGGGGGGGGGGGGGGGGGGGGGGGGGGGGGGGACACCATGAAGAGAGTAAATCAAATTTCAACATTTACATTAGTCATTGTGTACCTGAGCATCCAGTGCACTGTCCAGTACTTGAGGCAATAACCGTGCAGGATGACCCAATCTCACCAGCTTGACTCTAATGAAAAAAGTTGGATAACAAATTTTCAACAGGGGTACAAATAAATGCATTTACTTGTGTTGTCAAATGTAAAAGTGTAAAGAACCAATTCGCTACTATCACAACACTCCAATCAGAGCAAAACCAGCCAATTATTATAGTGCCAAACAGATAATAAAATAATCATACCTATGTGGAACTAGCCGCTCAACGATGTTGTCAACAGCAATATTTGAAGCAGCACAAGCAAGAATCTTGGATCCACGTTTCACTTCTTGTAATATAATTTCCACCACTGTTGTAGTTTTACCCGTTCCAGGAGGTCCATGTAGCAAGAACACATTCTTTGATGATAGGGCTTTTGAAATCGCATTTTTCTTTGGAGATAAAAACAGAAACACATAATTTTGTGAACAAAAGGCTGATGTACAAAGCAAAAATGATGAAATACTCATGCAGAAACACCAATATTATAATAACAGGTACATTATGTATTGGTTAATTGATATCCTAAAACCAATAAAAAATAAGACCCACAACATACTTAAACCACTTGAATATGATTTAGGGCTTTTAGAAAGCAAACTGCAATGCAAGAGTTTTCCCATGAAATTTTTTCACTTATCTCCAATGCCCTAACTATTCAATAATAAATGGGAAGCGAACAAGTTGCTGCCCAGGTGGATAAAACACTCTCATATCCATAGTTTTGACTGCTTCACTAATTAAGTAGCGATCATAACAAAATTTATAGCTAATTTTTAGGTCCACCTATTCTCAACAAGCTAAAATATGGAGCATGTGCTAGAAATCTGCAATATTCTACTATTCTAGCTTAGTTATATGGTGGTAATTAATAAAATTCATGTAAGTTCAATTCATTATTGTGATACTTTTCGTTATGATTAGATAAAACCCTAAAGTTATATTCTTTTAATTCTTGTTATGTTTCTTGCAGGTTTTAAAGTGGTCCAGTTAATGCCTTAAGAAGATTTTAAAAATTGTGAGCAGTGCCAAAATGCAAAACAATTATTATTACATATGTTTTAGAGAACAATGAATTAAGAACGCTTGGAGAAAAAATATCTAAATTGAGATCATTGACCACTAAAGTTGTTAGAGATATATAAAACCATTAATGTAGCCTCACCCAACAGCTTAAGTTTTTGGGTTAAATTGGTTCTTTACATAGTATCAGAGCCTCGGTGTCACGGATTCGATCCTCACCGCCCCCCATTATTCTTTTATGAAGTTTCTTAGCACAGGTAGGTTGGGCCGGATGCATCATCCACCCTTCAAGCCCAATGGGCTCTCGTGTGAGGGGGCATGTTAGAGATATATAAAACCATTAATGTATCCTCACCCAATAGCTTAAGCTTTTTAGTTGAATTGGTTTTTTAAAAAAGTGATGAATTATGTAAATATGTCCAATTATGTGGTGTACACATTAAACATGGTTGAATGTTATTAAACAATCTAGTGGTTAATGTTCCTAAGTTGAAAATATTTTTGCTTGGAGTCCTTAAATCATAATTTTTTTGTTTACCCTAAAGAAGAGGACTTATTGATAGTGATAGGCCTTAAGGGGGTGTTTGGTTCAAGTTTTTGGAGAGGATTACCGGTAATCCTTCTTTGGTAAGTGTAATTACCACGTTTGGTAGAAGGAATAAATTACGATTCCCGGATATCCAAGGATTACCGGTAATTTGATTTATAAAGAAAAGTCACTATTCAGATTACCAAAAATAATATGGTAATTCGGAATACCAATCAGAATACCAAGTAAAGGGAAAGCACAACAATAAATTTTGAGACAAAAATACCCCAATACACATAAAAATCTAGACCCAATCTATCAATTACAAAAGTAAAAATAGTTTGGGGTTATTTTTGTAAAATAACCTCATATTCCAAGTCATATTTCGTTCTAAACCAAATATGGAATCAGTAATTTTTACCCAGTATTCCCGGTAATATTTTGGCGAACCAAACACATCTTTCGTAAGATTCCAAGTAAACTCAATTTCTACTGAATTCCCATTAATCATGATTCCCGGTCACCAAAAAATTTCTCCTGTACCAAACACACCCTAAATGATGTAGAAATATGCTTTATGTTAATGACAAAGGCATAAACAACCTTAGATGAAACAATACAATGAAAGAAAATAGATTACAAAAAGTAGAAAACTGTTTGGAATATTTTTTTAAAAATAACAAATAAAATGGCCGTCCAAGAAATTAGGTTACACACCTGAGAGTGATCAAGATTGGTATTGAAGAGAGTGAAGGATACATCCTTCTTGGACACTGTTGGTGGTCTCTCCCCAAACAAGACAGGAATTAGATCAGCAGCAGGACCCTTATGCACTCCTTTACTCAATTGTATTAATGCATCTTTCATCCTACGATATGTCACCTGCATGAGCAATAAATATTTGCAACATGTAAGAGCCTGGGAGCAAGAAATTAATTATAAAAATGTAAAGCAAGATAACAAATGCTCTTTTACACAACAGAAAATGATAAACTAACTAACCAAAAGGGAGAGCAAAAGCTTCATATTAGTGTCCTATTACTGCATTTCATATATTTTATAAAGGGCCGACCCAGTTCAAATACCCACTTCGTGAGTGTCTGGGGAAGGGAATACTCTAGGCAGTCTTTCCCCTGCTTTGCATTTCATATATTTTATGTAAACCTAAAATTATAATAGATGTCAAAAATCACATGGCAAGGTTGATGAATTCAGTTAAAATAGTTTGAGAATTATATGATTAATAAATTTACTTTTTCTGACATTAATAACTCCAAATGAATGTTATAAAGCATCATGAAAAACTGAATCTCACTGTAGTAATTGAATTAGATATAATCAAACCATATAGCTATTATATTCAAGAAAAAATTATAAGCACCTATGAACTTATCAGCATACCTCATTTGCTACTTTTTCCAGCCTAAGGGGACTGTTTAAACCATCTTCTGGTATATCATCGAAAGCAACAGTTATTGATGAGTCCTGTTAGTAAATGTATCAAACCAGTAAGTCAAAGTAATATCCAAAGGTGGGACCATCAATAGCCAACATCATAAGTAATTTTTTTCTTTTTTCACAAAATGAAACAATCAGATACCTTTAACCTGTAAACTACGCCTTGTCCAAGAGCAGGAGAACCTAAATCAGCCTTGTTGAGTTTTAAAACGACAACATCATGACTACTAAACTGCAAAAAAGAAGACCTTATTACCTCCTGAAAGTAATACAATATTGATCAAATACTGCCACAAGATTGTTTTTGGCAACCTTTTTTCTGTCATGCCAGGGTCTCTGAATAGTGAATACTCGAAGCATGTACTTATACTGGGAATAAAAAAGGATAGGAGGGAGAAATGCATACAATAAAAGCAGGTTCATATAGGACACTACTAAAAAGCACTACTTATTTAAATTTGAGTCAACCAGTACAAATAGTTTGAGATCAAACAGATGACACTGATAAAAGAAAGTCAATCCTTTACCTTATGTGCAGGAAGAACATCTCCTTTTGTAGACTGGAACTCGATCAAAGATTTTCCCATAAGCCCTGTCTATTTTCAGAATAAAGAAGAGAAAGGAGAAGCAGGGGACAACATAAGAATACCATATGAATTGAAGTTCCACTTACTACTTAAATGCACAGGAAAACAAGAAACATAAACTGTTAAGTTTAGCTCCATTTTCTTGATACTCTTAAAATCTCAACGGTAATGAATTAAGATAAATATAAAAAATTCTACTCCCTCTTTCTTCTTTTTCTTTTTTGAATTCCATCTTTCTATTCCTTCGGATTGTCTTCATTTTCAAACCAACATATTATATGGTAGTTTAAATGAAGAAAGGGAAGAAAAAAAAAAAAAACGAATATATGGCCAGAAAAAATATATAGTGATGAACTGAAAAAACATGTAACCTGGACATCCACACATTTCAAGTTAAGGATTGTGGAACCCCTCTTTTGAGCAGTATCCAAATTCCTGGACGCGCCTGTGGCAATTGAGCTCGATATCTCAGCTTCCTAACCCCCAAAAAAAAGGAGAACAACAATCATTCACCCGTTCAGAAGCGACCCCATAAACCAGTCTTCCAAAAAGTTATGATCTTTTTCAATGTCCTAACCCGATAAACATAACCCATTGAACATTAGCTACTAGATGGCATAAAACTGGGCTTAAACTTGTAGATTGAGATACAGGGTCTCGGAAAGTTCCAAACTTTAATAGCAGCGTTTGGATAGTAAATTCGATTCAAGTAAGTGTGAGAGTGAAAGATTGGTACCTTTTCCAAGTCAAGAAGAGGGGTGGTAATAGAGATGAATTGCTCCAAAGAGAGAGGTGATGCTTTCTTCTTGCTGACCCCTCCCTCCATTGCCACTGTGACCTCTGCTATGTAAGGAGTGCACAATTGTTAAAAGAGTTCTATAGGACCTACACGCTACACATAATGGAATAGGTGTATGCCCATTTCATATTAACCCATTTTTTTGAGATTTTTTATTTTTTATTTTTATTTTTTATTTTTTTTATTATACAAAATGAAATTGATCTTCGAACCTATAAGTGTTATATAGATTATTCAAACCCTACATAAATTCTAGAGACTTTTTGCAAACAAAGGAGGGCACTATTGGCTAAGGGTTTGGTCCATATTCTTTAAGGGTATGGGTTCAAATCTCGCTGACCGATATGAAGACTTTATTGGTAGGTGATATGTAATTCCTCCCAAAAATCCTCAAAGAAGTTGGAGTCTTCTCTGACCCTAGTGAGATACCGATGTCTAACCTAACTTAAAGTTAATATTCAGAATATCCTCCTCTTTTAACATGTCTTAAACTCTTTCAAATCTTTATTTAAAATGACTTATATCTTAATTCTTGATGGAGCAGGGGACATTTTACTCGTTCGAAAAAGAAAAATGGATGAGAGAAGTTGATAGGTTTAATCAGATATCATAATACTTGGTAAGTTGGAAAATATCTTTCATGTATATTTCGTGAGTTTAATGTTACTTATATTTTAGGAGATAAATTTATTTATTATACATATATAAAAATAGAGAGTATCTAATATCATATTGTAGGAGATTTTCTTATGTCATAGACCCAATACATGATAGGTCTCACCATGTGTTAAAAAATAAAAAATAAATAAATAAAAGACACATTTATCGATGTATCTATAATATAAGATGATTCCCTCATATTACATGAGAGAATAATTTTCCATAAAAATATAGGTATTATATATATATATATATATATATATATATGAGATAAATTTATTTCTTATAATACAAGAATAATAAATCCGTCTTTCACGCTTAAGTACTATTAAGAATTCAGTATATCTTTTGTTAATTTAGTTTATAACATATAATGACAAAATTATATTTAAATCTTATAAATTCAGACCAAAAAGATTATGATCACAGTGAGCTATTTTAATCTTCAAGTACTTGGCAATGATTGCCCATATATTTTGGATAGTATGCTTATTAGCCAAAACCAAATAATCAAAAATTCGCTTATCAGGATACAGGTACACAAAGTCCTCAATTGTGCTATACAAGGATAGCCCTCATGCAATAAGACTCTTGGAAAATGGAAATGATTTTTTTTTTCATATGAATTTTTCACATGATAGAATTTCTGAAGAGAAATAAACACATACATTAAATAAGTAGAATTCTTTAAGGCTTTGTAAAGCCTTGGTTAAGATATTTGTATGTATCTCTCTCTTCATATGACCTTGGCACATCTTGTCTTTAATCATCAAATAAGGACATAGCCTGTTACTTGGTGGAAACCAAATAATAGGTAGAGTGGTCAGACATCAATATCCTTCCCAAGAAAGAGATCCCATTGGATTCAAGGCCACCAATTTCTCTAAACAGCCCCGGCAGATGCAAATGAACAAGATGGAGGGCAAAATTCTTCCCTTACATTATAAATAGTATGCCCATAACCCTACAAAAAAGAAACACTTCTTTAATTTAAGTCACTCATTATAAATAGTTTTGAGATTGAACAGATTACATTGATAAAAAAACATTTACCTTGTTGAACAAGGGAGGAGATAAAAAAAAGAATACCATATTAGTTGAAGCTCCATCTTCTGAAATAGCACAATACAACTGAAATGCTTCTTTTATATATGTTGAAGAGATTCCACAGAAACACTGGATATCTCTCAGATGAGAGTACGGAACATTAGTAGAAGAAAATGAAAGGAAGTGTAAAAAAACACACTCAATTCCCAGAAATGTGAGCCCAAGCCACACTAGCTGAAATTTCCCCAAATTTTTATTATGTCCCCTCCTTTCTCTTCCCATTTCTCAACAACTAACTTCACCAACTCACCCCCCTTCTCTCTCTCGTCCCTTCCCATAACAACTTCCCTTGTTCCCCTCCTTCAACTTCAAGTGTTCCCTTTCTCTTCATAGTTTTTGAAGTATAACTTTCCAAGTTTTAGGCCTCATTACAAAATAGCCCTATCAATTGGACCAAAACCTCTTCAGTATAAAGAAGATTCCTATCATTCTTAATTTGTTTGAACAATTTTTCTTGCTCTACTCACTTCCTGTATAGATTGTCCAGGTTTCTATTATACTTTTATAGTTAGCAGAGACAGAAAGTGAATATTCAGAATTTCTATACATTTTCATGTCCAATATGGGTGATGGAATGCTAATATGGAAGTCAGAGAATTGGACATCCCTTTGCATGTACACCTGGAGCTGTGGGGCATTTGGCCAAAGGGCAGTGGTCATTGGCATCAAGACCCCACCAGGTTGGACCAAAAATACCATAAGACTGTAGGGTAAAGTAGAGGATCACACTCATGAAAGCAACTCCAGCATCTAAAGCAGCAGAGAGGATGTAAGTATGTCTAGCCCACCATGCCTTCAACTTCCTATAAACATAGAAATTGAAGAAGATTCCAACAATTCCCCAAGTAATATAATTCACAGATCTGGCTGGAGGGATGTTGGATGCCGTAGTGATAATGGGAATGTTGATGAGTTGAATCCACTTTTGGTTGGGGAATTTGCGAGAAAGCAACCACACTGGAATAGGAGCAAGTAGACCAATGAGGAAAAACCAATTCATACCAGGGTAAACACCATCTTTGGTAAACATTCTCTGTGGCCCTACTACTCCCCATATGATTGAAGCATTATAAAACACTTCATCACTAGGGCATGTCCATGGACTACCATTTGGCAACAATGCTTCATCACATATGTTCTCAATCGATGTGAGAAGCCACCATGCTGTGACAAAGTGGACAGACGAAGCAACTACCGTGCCTACCAACTGCACCATGAACATAGATTTTGGAGGAATTTTCATATAGTGGCCTAATTTGAAGTCACCAAGAAACCCAAGTGCTTGTAGCATGCTGATGTGCCCGTAAGTCTTGAAGGCTACATTAGCAAGGGGCTTTCCTGGATAAATGAATCCAATTATTAACTCTGAGACCACATTGAGTCCTATTTGGATATTTGTTGTTGCTTGAATGACCCCAATTGGCAATGTGAAAACTAATGCAATTGCTAGAGAAAGTAAGATTCCCCACCATGGCAGTTGAAGCTCCTTGCCAAAGCCTTCAAAAGCTACTAAGGCCACAATAACCATTAGAATCAAAATGGAGACAAACCACCATTCAGGGACTTGTTCATAGTTTTTCTTCATAATTCTTGTATGCACATCCCCAAGTTGTCCTTTTAGTGCACTTGTTGTCTTCCTCCACATCTGAAGAATCGCTTCACCATGGAAGAGGACAACGTGTGAAATAGTGGCAGTCAGAGTTGCAAAGCTCAATCCATACTCCAATGCAAATGTAACACTGAGATAGATCTTGCTGTAGTTGTTATAACTATCCAAATCAATGTCAAAAGTCTTGGCATTTAGAATCCGAGTAACATTATATAGTGCACCGGTAGAGTCAAATGTTTGAGAACTAATGAGGGGAAATTTTTTGGCATCATATAAATTGTTCCAATAGGCAAGGGGAATTAAAACATAGATATAAAACACAAATCCAGCCAAGATGTTGATGATAGCAAAACCAGGTACAGCTAAAGGACTGCCTAAGAAGCCAGCAACGGTGTTCCAGTCAAGGCCAAATGAGCCAAGGCCAAGGCCTTTCATTCCTGAACCAATCTGTTGAGCGGTGATGGAATTTTTCCAAACCAAGCAAACAAAAGAGACAGTTGATATTGCTTGGAATAAGTAGCCTGGAACAATGGAATAAGCAAAGCTTGCTGCAAAGACCAGGAAAAAGAATTGCAGCCTAGTGTGTCCTCCTTTAGGCCTTTTTTCTTTTTCATGAAATGCCCTGAATAGAGACACTTGCACAAGATTTGCAGGCCACCACATGTAAGGGGAGTCAACAAGGAATTTTCTGAAAATTCCAGCCCATCCATACCCAAGCATTTGGGTCGATAGCGCTAACAAGAAAGCCCCTATCGGATGGATGCTCCTATGATAGAAAGCCTTAACAATTGTGATGATGTTAATTGCATAAACAGCAGTAGATCCAGAGCTAGCAAAGATGGTGATCAGCACATGTTCCTTCAAAGAGAATGGCCCTGGATTCAAAGAAAAATACCATTTTGTGAATGGGACTTGAATCTGTTTTGTGGGAAGTGTTGCAGCCATCAGTTTCCCAAGTGGGAGGGTAATAATCTGAGCTGAGACAGAAGAGATTTTTAGAGGGTTGGTCCTGTAGCCCAAAAATTGGTTCACAAAGGCAAGAAGCACACATGATGCCAACCCCAGAACCCATGTCCGGAATGTTAGTGCTGGCTGAGTAGGGTCGTCTGTTATTGGAATTGTTAGCCTCACTTGCTCAATGGGAGAGTCATCAACACTGAATTCTTCATTCTCTGCATCCTCTAGGACCCTCTTTTGAGACCCTCCTGTGCTAGATATCTCAGCTTCCTAATCCAGAAACAAAACAAACGAGAACAACAAATCCCATAAACCAAACTTTCAAAGTTGTTACGATCTTTATCACTCTTCCAATCATTCAACACTTGCAATTAGATGGCATAAAATTGGACTTAAATTTTTAAATTCAGAAGCAAGGTCTCAGAAAGTTCAAAGCTTTAATTTCAGCATCAAAGTCTGTTCCATAATATTTACGCAGAATGAAAAGGAAAAATCCATTAAATAAAGCCTAAGATGAATAATGGATAAAAGGAACAAAGATTCATGCGGGAGGAATGAGATGAATAAACAATGAAAGTAAAGCGTAGGCATTGAATTATTGGAGTGGAAGAGTGAAAGTAGATGTTACCTTTTCCAACTCAAGAAGAGGGGTGGTAATAGAGATGAATTGGTGCAGAGAGAGAGGTGATGCTTTCTTCTTTCTGGCCACTCTCTCCATTGCTGCTATGTAAGAGTTCTAATAATATGGTATCGTATCATTTCTTTTTTGTGATGAGTACAATCTGGTATTAAATAGAGACTACAATCTAATTTGAAATATAGACTTGAGATACTCGAGGATAGGATAGTAGCGCAGAACATCCAAACAGGAAAGACTATGACAACAAAAAAAAAAAAACTGTCATGTAATTCTATCCTGACAGCTGCTGCTCTCTTTGGAAAAATTACATAGTGTTGATGGTTTCGCCACTCGTCGAATTCGGGACAGGTCCAATATCAAAGTTTTAAATTCCTTTCAAAGATGACAAGAGACTAGAGAGGATCAAATATGCTCCTCAACTCCTATGTACCAACTAAGCTACCATTATTAAAAAACTCTGACATGTGATGTCATGCACTTCCTGACACTCTAATACTTATTGCAGAAACTCAATAAAGTATTCAAAATTTACGTTGCATTACGTTTTTAGTTCCAACTATTCATTCGTTGGATTACGATTACTATTTTGTATATTTAATATAATATACACTAAATAAATTAAAAATATTATTTAATATCAAAACGTGTCATAATGTATCGAAATATAATATTTTTTAGAATTAACGTGTCGGAGTGTCATAATGTGTCGATAGAACGTAGCACACAGCATACTTATATATTTGTTATTTGATAAGAACCTCGGGATACACCACTCCAAAAGCTAGCTCAAAGGGTGGGAGTGCTCAAGGTCTTATAAACTCCACATTAGTTGTCCATATAACCAATGTAGAACTATATATCTCAACAATATTTCCATAGGCTCATTTCATTTTGTAACTCTTTTTGTGAGACATTTTGAACTCATATTCAAATCTTTTAGTTAATATGAATAATATCAGTCAATAGAGTATGAAATTCAAGCTTGCTGCATGAACCTGGACAGAGTAAGCGTGCTCAACTAACTCTTTTATTATTAATATAATGTATTTGGTTACATTATTTAGTGTGAATATTTTGACTTTATTAAATTAGTTTGCTGCTTTGATTATATAGGGCGGCTGGGGAAGGAGATTAGCACGTTTCCATATTTGAATTTAAAAAAATAACAACAATGATAACTTATAACTTGCATTACATACCCAAGGTGCGAGTTACACCAACTCCCCCTCAATTTTTTTTTATTTTTTTTTTCTGTTCTGCTTTTATAATCTACTACTTTGAGAAAAATGAAAAATAACAAAGAAGGGAAATAATTTTATGGGAGGGGTACGAGGAAACCACATACAATTACTATAAAAGGCTCCCTGAGCCTTTGAAATTGGAGAGGATACAGGAATGTTTGCAATGGAACTGCAGGGTAGGTCCAAAAACTGGTACTCTCAATATGCTTCTTCTTAATCTTCAACTTCTTATTATGCATGACATGTATCTAAATTTTTGCAGTGAAAGTGAAATGTTTTGTGCATGTTGCTCTAGTGGCATAGTTAGAGGAAATATTTTATCATCAATCATTTTGGATATATTTACAAGTTTACCTTCTTTGTTTCAATTATGGAACATTTCCCAACATCAAAAATCACTTCGAAGCCTTTTTTAAGCATCTAACCGATACTTAGAGAATTCGAGTTTAAGTGTTATAGTCTCATTTTGGTTAATGATTAATTAAGTGTATGTATAAGTAAAAAAAATTACTAAACTCAATGTTTAAAATATTAGGTTGAGATATGACCACGAATTGATGGATTGTTTGGTTCATTGATGATAATGTTGTTATGCGCTTCCTCTGACCTTTATTAAATTATTTAAGAATTATTATGTTATATAAATAATTTGAGGATTATGTTATTTGTTTAATATATTTTGAGATATTATCTTTAATAAAAAATTTATTTAAAAATTATTATATCAAAATTTTCTATTTCATTAGATTTGATTGTGAACTATAGTCAAAAATACACTAACAAAATATCGTTACTTACACTATCCTACCTGTAAGTTAAGATCTTGCTATGCTAAAGGGAGCATTCAAGTCCATAGTCTTCATCTTTTGGTCAATCGAGCCAAACCATAGGCACATGATCATGTTGGGTTATAATAATTCACAAACCACAATGATCCTTCACATTTCCGCCTATCAATTATATCCAATTATTCCTTCGTACCAAACAAAAAGAACCCATCTCAATCGGATAAGTACATAACAAAATAACAAAATTACACGTGTTTTCTAAGGTCTCCACCATAAACACTTCTGCCCTTGACTCTCCGACAACCTCAAAGCAATGTACTTCCTTTGGTGCAAAACCAAACGAATTCTTCAAGACCGAACAAATTTCGATTTCATATTTAGAAAACTATTATTACATTAGAATTTAGTGTCTAATGCCTTACTCATATTTTGACATTGAATAATAAAAACTATTTGAGTTGAATTCTGAAAATTTTTGCGTATTGGAAATAAGAAACTTTCTGGATGTACAAAAATAAAAATCAAGCCTTAAAAGATTCATGATCACAATTCGGAGATATTAGAAAGCGGATGCCTGAAGCCTCTGAGTCGTTAAAGTACAACATTATTTTCTGCTACAAGAGTAACAGCTTAGGACAGATGTTATCACCATAGAAGATGAAAAGGTGAAAACTCCCTGTATCAAACCAAACCCCACAGAAGATGGATAACAACATAATACATCAAGTAGGTAATCCTCACTAGTCACTTCAAATGCGTTTTCGTCCCAAATCTCTCAAAGTTAGAGGGAACAAATACTAGTACCGCAAAAAGCTTCAACTTGCCTATAGTGGAATTCAAATGTGAACTCATTTGTATATGAGGGCATCACGTCCAGGCCCAACACCAATGTAGTGGATAGGGAGACCAACATGTTCTTCTATCCTTTCCACATATTGCCGTGCAGTTTTTGGAAGGTCAGAGTAGTTTCTGATGGAAGAAATATCAGACTTCCATCCAGGAAGTACTTCATATTCCACCTAAAACATAAAAAAACAAATAACCATAAGAAAATACAATATAAAATATTCCCAAGCAATTAAGGACATCTATCATTACTTCACATTTTGATTTATAATCAAATAAAAGCAGATGGTTATGTTATCCAGAACTTTGGCCAAGTTAGAGGAATGGAGTGGAAGGAAATGATAGAAAAGTTTACCTTCAATTGCTCAAGAAGACGGAGATCTGAAGGGAATGATTTGACTGGGGTACCATCAGCATGTTTATAAGAGACACCTAACTGTATTTCATCAAGATCAGATAAAACATCCAGCTTGGTGAGATTCAATGAAGAAAAACCATTGATCTGACAAGAGTATCTTAATGCAACTATATCCAGCCAACCACACCGTCGAGGACGGCCTGTAGTTGTTCCAAACTCCTGCCCAGCAAATCTGAGGAGATCACCTCCTGGTCCCAAAATTTCTGTTGGAAAAGGACCGGAACCAACTCTCGTAGTGTATGCTTTCACCTGCACGGTCAAAATAAAATTAATAAACCATTTTGCCTGTGTTAAATATGCTTAAATTGTTGACATTATATTTGTTGAATACACAAAAACAGAAAAATCTTGAAGCTCTTGATCTAAGCAGTAAGGCACAATAACTTACAAGAAGCATACGCTATTAGGCTTCTTCTTGGGTACAAAATTCAAACAATATAAGAAAAGATCACCAAGAACTCCAACAAACAATTAAGAAAAGATAAATATACACATACCACTCCTATTAAATCACCAACTACTCTTGGAGCGATACCAAGTCCAGTGCATATCCCACCTGCTGATGGGCTAGAAGAAGTAACAAAGGGATAAGTTCCAAAATCAATGTCCAACATGGCTGCTTGTCCTCCTTCAACCAAAATCTTCTTCTTTTGTGATATAGCATCATTCATGACATGCACAGTATCAGCAACAAAGGGTTCCAACCTCTCAGCATATCTCTTGTATTTTTCAACTTCTTCCCTGAGCATGTCAGGACCATAGTTAAAATCTTTGAACCTCGATGCTGCATCTGATAACAAAAAATCAAGCTTCTGAGGAAAAGTATCCATGTGCTTCAAATCACATACTCTAATGCCATTCCGGTTAACCTTGCTGGAGTAGCACGGTCCAATGCCTCTCTTGGTCGTGCCAATGAAAGATTTAGCAAGCTCAGCTTCTCTTAGCCCATCCACTACTTGGTGGAAATCAAACAAGAGGTGAGCGCGATCAGATATCAATATCCTTCCCTTGCAAGACACCCCATTCGATTCAAGCCCATCAATTTCTTCAAACAGCCCCGGCAGATGGACCACAACTCCATTCCCAATTACACACAGAGTATCCTCATTGAGGATACCAGAAGGAACAAGATGAAGGGCAAACTTCTTCCCTTCAGCATTATAAATAGTATGCCCAGCATTAGCTCCACCCTGATAACATATAATAATCACAAATTATCAGTGCAAAATAATAAATAAAAAAAATAAAAAATCATCAACCAACACCAAGTGAAACCACTTATAACAAAAGATCATAAATCATAAGGCTATCTTCCAAGTAAGCAAGTGCATCAATCAGAATGTCCATTTTAGCCTAACTATTCCAAAATCTTAAATAAAGGCATAGATTCATACATGTGAACATGTATACTTAGCTAGTAAGCAAATGGATTAATGAGCATAAATAAATTAAAATACACCATTGCAATTAACCCTAACACAACACCACCACCACCAAATAGTCAAACACTAATTTCATTGATTACCCACGATTTGCAGCGAAGAAAAAAGAGGTAAAAAAGTAAAAAGGAAGGAACTTGAAGGTAACAGTAGTAGTACCTGACAACGAGCAACGATTTCGAAGTGTTGGGCTAAGATGTCGACGAGTTTCCCTTTACCCTCATCGCCCCATTGGCAACCCAGAACGCCGGAAACCTGACTCAGCGACCCAATTCGACCGCCGGAGGTGTCGGCGGCGCTGAGCTTAGTGGGAGGAGGAGCGACAGGCTTCGCGGCGCATACGACGACGTTCCGTGTGGGACGATGGTGGCGGAAGGAGAAGGAGCGTTGAGTGTTGCATATTGTGTGAGAATCAAGCGTCAGATATGAGATGCTGCTCATTGCGAACTCAAACACAAACACAAGTGTGAGAGAGAAAGAGAGAGAGAAAGAGAGAGAGAATAACAGATACTGTGACGCGTTGAAGAGACTCGAAAAGGGTTCAAAAAAGGTTGCGTTGCGATTTATTTCCAACTACTAACGTTGGATGTTTACAAAAAAAAATAAAAATAAACTACTAACGTTGGATTACGATTACAACGAATATTTTGTCTAATTTTTTATATAATTTTATTTATTTCTCTTTGTACTCTTAAACTACAATTTCATTCTCATTTTCATTTTGTCACGGATATTCTACCTATCATTTTTTCTGTCTACTTTTGTCTATCACTCTTTGATACCGTTAGATTAGAATCTTAAGAGAAGAGAGAAAGATAAAGATTAGTTGAGATTCTGATCTAATGGTATTTTAAAATAGTAGGCAAAGGTAGGCAGAAAAATGATAGGTAGAATAACTTATCTCATCTTTCTAATGATGATTGAAATTGTAATCCAATATTCTATCCACAAATAAAATAAATATAATATGGGAAAAATATTTCTTCAATCACCGGAGATAAAGTTATCTTTAGTGAGCTCAAAACGACTTTTTAGGTTATAAGATTAAAAAATTATAATGATAAAGACTAATATAACCCTGTAATATATTATAATTAAAAAACACCTTAATTTCCTCTTCAAAACGACATCGTTTTGAGTTCACCGAAGATAACTTATCTTCATTGACGAATAAATTCTTTTACACATACTTAATATGCAAATTGGATTTAATAATGGTTAATTTCTTGATAAATATTTCAAATTTCATTATATATCAATAAAAATCTAATAGATATTTTACCGTACTGGTATTCATAAAAATTAAAAATAATGCATAATAAATCTCAGTTGGAGTGTGTGAGAGATTTTCATTTTGAAACATAATGATAAATTATTTATATTTTATGATTTTTTGTAAAATTATATATATTATGATTAGACTTTAAGATTAATATTTCTTATGTTATAGAAAATAATTTTATTTTTTACACACAAATAAAAATATGTGAAGTCGTACGAAGAAAAAAAAAATTCTCACATGTGAGTGTAGCAGTGTAGAAAATAAATTTTATTTCTTATGATATAAAAAATATTATTCCCTTAAACTTTTTAAGAACTTTATTTTGATACTCTTTTCTTTTAATATACATACGTGAACTCTTTTTTATTTTTTAATACATAAAGGAAGAAAGAAGAATTAGGAGACAATGACAATTTACCAATATCTATTGGTACCCATAGATTAAAATTCCGTTGTAATTTGACTTTAGTATCATCAAAGATTCGTTTTCGTCTATGATAGATTTTTTTTTTTTTTTTGAAACGTCATTGATAATTTCTGACAAGTTACGTATTAAGGTACTTTAGATTATTTATAGTAGTCCTGGCACACCTACTTCTTCCATTGAGAGCTGTCACTTAGAGAAAAAAACAAAATTTCTCTCTCCTTCACGTAAACAAGTCCGAAAATACTAATTTTTAATTGACTTGGACCTGTTGGAAATCGACAATCACACAGAATTGAGAAAACCGAAAAAAAGATAAGAGTAGAGAGATTAGACACAGCGATTTACCCTGGTTCTCCCAATATATGCTACGTCCAGCTTGTTTATACTATATTCACCTCACCGCCACTCGTTACAAGTCTCTCGGTTTACAAGGCAAATATAAATAGAACTACAAAACCCTAACAACAGCTATTCATGGGCCCAAGTCCAAACTGCTAAGAAGATTACGATGAAACATAGCGGAACTCCAGTTGCCTTTCTGCTGATCCTGATAATTAAGGCCGACGTCCACTCGGTGAATGCTTTGCATATTTCTTCAATCCCAATAGAATTGTACACCCATTCAAACTTATCTGAAGACAACTAAACAAATATTTCTTCTTGTCATAAATCATGAATTTTCCTCAACCACTGTCTTACAACCAGAAACTGTTCTGCACAATAACTTTTTTTTATTACAGTAACTCTAAGAAATTCAATAAAAATATATGATAATAGCACCATTATAGTTAACAAAATCCTATACAAAACCGAATCAAATACACTGACACTCTACTTCATTCACTGACGTTTGTTCAATTTGATTCTGTTCCATTGTTCAATGTTGTCCCTTCTTGACAACAAGTAGAGGCACCCTTTCCCTGTGTCCCACAGTCTCCTTCAATTCTTCTGACACTCCACTTTTGGTTGGAGCATTCTCAGTTGCACCTTTCTTGGAACCCTTCCTTGCTAGCCTCTTCAATTCAGAGCAGAATCCAGTGATCTGACCCAGAATTTCTCTACCACCCAACAAATTTTGTGCTGAGAAAGTACTCTTTAGCTTCGATTTTCGATGACTTTCAACAGGATACTCCTTTGAACCATTCAACTGTTCTGAGTTCTCCTTGATTGGCCTCATCAATGGCTTTTTCAGCTTGTTGGTCCTACCATTAGGATGTGTAGCAGAAAAGTTTGGATTTTTATTCTCAATGTCTTCATCAAATTTTGTTGAACAACTGGGTCTTCTTGGTTTCTCAAAAGACTTAGCATAGGAACTTTCTGCAGCTGAAGAATTTTCCCTGATATAAAAACATAAAATCAAGGCTAAGCATATAGTTTTTTATTTTATTTTTTTAATTCCCATTTTTCTTCTTTTTGCTTATAGATATGGTAACGTGGAACGTACCTTCGGTTTCTGTCCCTAAAGGGAAGAATATCAGAAATGGTTACAAATCTTAATAGCTTCGTCTGCATGAGATAATGAAGAGGAAAAAGTGGATTAATTTCTATAGAAAAAGGAATTTAATTTATGAGAATAAAAGAAACTAAAATTGAGGTTGCAACCTTGGAATTGGTTGTGGTTGTGGGTTTAAGAAAATCTTGAGCAGTTTTTGGATGCTTGCAATCTGCAAGTGAAGTGAAAAACTCAGCAACAGAGAAAACCCCAGAAAGGAAATTCAAAGTAGACCCTTGTAAAAGACCTCACCCTGAGTGCAAAACCAGGAATCATGATCAACAACAAGAAGCTCATCAGAAGCAGAGAGATCAACCCATTTAGGCGCGTCGAAGTTCTCGTACGTGTCATCTTGAATGAATGTGGAGTCGATGTTGTCCCAGTCAATGTTTTCTGGTTCCATCTTCAGTGAAGAATCTGCAGAGTTTAAGCCAAAAAGAGAATTAGAAGTGAAGTAGAAAAGCAGAATAGAAAGGAAAAGACAGTGGAAAATTGCTGCAAATGTGAAGGTCCCAGGATGTCTTGTTCTTTGAAAGAGGTCGAAATGAACGAAAGAAGCTGTGGTTAGTGGTGGTTTCTATACTGTAGTTAACTAGGATTTGGATTCAGTAACGTTTGAAGCATCACATTGACAATCGTTGTTTGAAACAAATTCGACCGTTGGGCCACTCTTCATTTTCTGACCTTTGTTTTGTCTTTTTATAATTCAATATTTTATGACCACTCTTCTTTTAATCCTTTGTGGAGTTTTTAAACAAAGTTGGGTCAAACCTTGAAACAAGCTAGCCCAACTTCAAACCCAAAGTTGTTTTTAAACTTTATACTAGGTCTATTTGATTATTGGTAATAGTATAATTAAACACTCTCCTAAGAAAATTATGAATAACAATGTGTGTTAAGAGTGTGTGTAGTGTAGGGTGTTGTGTTCAATTCCTTGTAACCTGCAAAAAAAAAAGAAAATTATGAATAACAAAATAGCAAGTTGTTTAAACTTTAAAGAAGAAAAAGACAACCAATAATCTGTTCTACTAGAACATAGTGTATCAGTCTCTTTTTTAAGCTAGAAGCTAGAAGCTACTGTAAGCTAAAGCTAAGAAAAAGAGTTTAAAAAAAACTAAAATTTATTTGATGATTACATAAAAAATTTAGTTTAAAAGTTACGTAAAAATACATATTTCAAGAAAACTTCCACTTTATTTATCTTTATATCTCTTCATTTAAAAAAAAGCATACAATTCAATAAAAGTTGATAATAGTTTAAAAAAAACTCCTCTTAGGACTTTTTAACTTTTAGCTTTTTTAATTATAAAAAAAGATTTTTTTTTTATAAAAGCTATTTTCAAAACCTATTTGACCTACCTTTTATTTATAAGTAGATCCTAAGTTAAAAATAAAAATAAAAAATCCAACCATATACTTAATCATGGGAAGAGTGACCAATGTACCACACATTGGTCACTTTTTTACCAGTATGTCCCGCGAACAGTAATATTTGTCAAAATGCCACGCGTCCGAGTTCGTTACAGCAGGCAGCGAACTCGATTTACTGATGTGGCGTGCTTCTGGTTGCCATCTAGTTCGCTACTGGGGTGTAACGAACTAGGTGACAATTAATACCCCTCTACTCTGACAAAAATAAAACACGTGACAATATTATAAAAATTCGCTGAGATAATAGCAAACTAAGTAAAAATAACTTTTGAAATATATGTTAGATACATATAAATTCGCTACACTAGATAGCGAACTATGTGCTAAAAGGTACCCATCAAGCTTGTCAAAGGGTGACCGTGGCTACTGATTTGCTTTTGTGATTATTGCTTGTATTGATAGATGTGACGTGAAGTCCGAACAGATAGATATATAGCACTTTTCCACCTTGAATTATTGACGAACCCATGCTTTTGCCCAGGGGATATATGCGTCAATTACCAAAAGAGCATCACTTGTCACGGATTTTTTTATTATGCTCCAGCTGCGCAATAAAAATTGATGGTCCTTTACTAAAAAGGAAAATGTTTATTTTATTTATATCTCTTTCTTTCATTTAAATCTCCTCCCAATTTTTTTTCTTTTCTATTTTTGAAAAAGGCCGACGAGGGCCTTGCTCATGATAAATGAGCTCCACTTGTCACCATTTTCTTTGTAGAAAGCATCGAGTAAAATCAACTTTCTTGTCTGACTCTTCTAGTCTTTTCGTAACTATTACAATATATAAGTTTTGTTGCATTTTTGTAACTCCTAAATATTTCTTTCTCATTTTACTCTGTTATTCTTTTTCTTTTTT